CAGTGAGTGCACTAGAAGGGTAGCAGGAAAAGGGTTTTCCTCCCCTGCACATCCTTCCCACAGAGCAGAAGACACAGGCTCAGGTGCCTGTTGTGGAGCTGACTGGAAATCAACAGATCAACGGGTCTGAAACTGCCATGGTGAGTCTAGAGGCGGCCGAACCCAGCAGTTCCCTGTTGGTCAAGAACCAGGAAAGAAACTGATCTCATACTTCAGCCTCTGTCTGAACCCTTGTCAACCAATCAAAAAGAGACAAGCTACTTAAGAACTAACCAAAAAGTTTCAAAGGCAACCCAAGCTCAGACCACTTCCCTTGAAAAGTTCCTTTCCCTGCGCTCAGTGAAACGAAACTCAGAATTACCCCTCAGTTGTAGATCCAGATTCTGGAATGATCCCTATGCTCGAATAAATGCTTTCTTGACTATATTACAGTCTGATTAATTCCCAGTGACACTACGGTGACCTACATCAGTGTGTGCAGGTGGGGTCTGCAGCCACCTGGCGAGCTCATCTCCATTAAAGGGCAGAGCTCCCCTAGTCATCGGCCAACTGTTTCCAGGAGGGCAAACAGGCCCAGTGCCCTCAGACCTTCCTGTTTCAAAGAGAAATAGCAAGCCTGGATATGGAAATATCCCAATTTTTAAATGTTGGCAACAAACCCCAAACCCTAAAAGGACCAAATAAAACAAATTTTATTCTGATCCAGGGGCTGTTCATTTGCAACCTCATTACAGACAAAGCCCAAAGAGCAGGGCAGGCCCAGCTTCCAGACCCCCTAAGAGCTTATGCATGAAGACTTACAGACCCTCTAGCTTGCTCTTATCAATGAGCATAACTCTCTTCACATCCCAGTGAAAGAGGAGCCCGTGAGACAAGATCCTGCCAGGCAGGGGGAGGACAGCCGCGTGAGTTATATGAATGATCCTGAGGGCTCTTTCCGAGGCAACAATGAAAACACACTCAACAGGGCATGAGGCATAAGCAGGTCAGGAACCCAATTGTGCTGATGGGAGGTAAAGAGCCAAACACAAACACCCCAGGAACGCTGAGCCCTCACTTTTGGGGAGATCCTGCCCGTGTGATAAGCCCTGCCTTCACATCTCCTGCATCTCCACCACATTCTCGCCAGCTCAATCTATTTTATTTATAGATTCGTATCTGGCACTATTCCTCGCAAGAGCTCATGACTTCCCTCTGTCTTCTCTCCCCTCGCGCTTCAGAGCAAAGCAGATAGAAAACCGAATCATCAACAACAACAGATGTGAAACGACAGGGATGTTTACATGCTTTAGCTTGGGGCCCAAAGGAGATGGCCCAACAGATCCGAGAATGGAGCTACCTCATCCCTTCCAGAAGAGTCTGAGAACTGTTGGCCATGACGCACCTTGCTTCAGAAACCTGGGAATTGTAATTCTGTGCTAGAACCCACACTCCCTGGAGCATAAAGAAGAGAAGTGTCACTAGGATCCCAGAGCTCTGCTCAGGAGGAGGAACACGTTTCTCATCTACGTAAGGACCTGCAAGGACACAGGCGCTAGGGATTGGGGGTGAGGGGCGGATGCTGTCAGTAGGAGAGATCGGCAGCAGGAGGCACGCAGATGGGCGCCAACAGGGGGCTGGCGACTCCCTGGCTGACATCAGGGCAGCTTGGCAATCCATGGCCAGGGGAGGCTGGTGACGACACAAGGAAAGTGAGGACAGCGAGAGACCACAGACGCACTGGCTCCACGCAGAAGGGCTGTGGCTCTGGCCATGTGTGGAAACCCTGCCCTGCCCACACACCAGTCTGAAAGGATCACTTGCGAGTAGTCTCCTAGGAAAACAGACCGGACTCGTAATCAGGGCCGGGAATATGGCTATAAATGTCACGCTTGTACCCACCAGTTCGTGAGCCAAAACCAGGCCTCCTTACATCCACAGAGCCACACTCGAGGGCCCCTGTGACCTGTGACAAACCTCTTGAGAGTCTAAGAACAAGCTTTATTTACCCTTTGCTGATGGTAGCAGCTTCTGCTGAAGGCTAAGTTAAAAGTCAGGAAGAACTAAACTAAGGATTTTGACGGGATTTCCTGAGAATGCCAGTGGCTTCCGGGGGCACCTTGCCTGGGCATCCCCTGGACGGACAGCATCCAGCCTAACCTGCCGGCTGTGGTGGCGACTCCTCGGCACTGACATTATGTGACCTGTCATCTGATATTGTTCATTCCTTCCTTGAAATTCTCTCCTCCTTGACTTCCTGTTTCCTCTGAGCCCCTCTGGCGGCTTTCGGAGCGCCCAGCACGGCATGCCTTGCGGAGGCCGGTGCAAAGAGGCCGGGAGAAGAGAGGGCGCACGGCGAGGTGCCTGCGGCCAGCAGGGACTGGCAGGTCCAGCACTGGACCCTGGACATCGGCCAGGGCTCCATGAGGAGCAGAAGAAACTCCAGGGTCCGCTCACTCCCTTCCCCTCGCAGCTCCTGCGCCTGCGGAGCCGCGCGCTGCCAGGTTTGGCAGTGAACTGAGAGGAAGGCCGCTCGAACCTGCTCAGCTGGGCGCTCCTGCCAGCTGTGGACCTGGGTCAGCCCATCATGAGCGAGCGGGCTCTCACTCCTCCACCTTCTCAGGGACCCCCTCCTCCCCCTGCCCAGAGGGGCTGCTGCTCCCGGGGTCCCTGCCTAGCCCCTCGCTCCCTGGGCTGGCCGTAGGCAACTTGAGCCACCGCCCTGGTCTGGGCCATGATGGTGTCTCAGTCTGTATTTACTGACAAGACCAGACAGACTCCAGCTCGGGGCACGGCCCATAAGCCCTCGAGCTTCCTTTGTCCAAAACCGAATTAATTCCCTCCTTCCGCGATCCAGTCCTCTCATACTCTCTTTCTTGGCCAACGGGCCCACCATTAACTTAGCCAGAAACCAAATCCCGACCACCACGCAGGTTCTGAGTTCCTTAAACTATAAATGGATGACTATTGTTGACTCTTTTAAAAATCTATTTTATTACTGACTTGAAGGGATGGGGTGTGTTTATCGTTCTCACAGGACTACTGAGGAGTCTTCAATCTGCTTTCCCTGCTCGGTCCACAAGCCTGTCGTCTTGGCTCTCGCTTGCATTGTTTTTGCTGAACTACTGCAGGAACCTCTTATCTCATCGCCCTCATTCCGATTCTTCTAACTACTGCTGCCAAAGTGATCTCCATTTCAAGAATATTTAAATATTTTTTCTTATTACAGAAGTAATGTATGTTTATTGTAGGCATTTGAGAAAAGTCCTTACTATTGCAAAAAGACGATCACCGTGAACACAGTATTCGGTATACTCCCAGCCATTTTCTATGAATAAACATACATCTGTAGATGCTTTCTATTATGTGTTAGGTTTACATTACATATACTTTATGTGACTTACTTTTTAAAATTAACATAGTAATGTAGTGAATGATTTTCTATGTCAGTAAGTCTTCTCACTATCATCACCCAGAAGGGAAACATGGTATTCTATCAGATGAAAATACCATCATTTGTTTCATCGATCACCTATTGCTGGCACCTTTAGGGTTTTTTTAATTTCCTAATATAAAAGACATACTACAAAAAAACATCTTTGAACGTGCACCTTTGTTCATATTCATAATTATTTCTTCAGGAGTGGAACTGCCAGGCCAACAGGGATGCGTATCTCTAAGACTTTGAACCTGCTGCCAAGTACTCCCTGAACTGGTTTTCTCCATTACACTTCCACCAGCAGAGGGATCATTTTAATGTAGAAATCAGATTATTACTCAAAGACTTGGAAGAGAATTGCAGGTTCAGAAACAGAAGTCAAGAAAAGGCTCAGAAAAGAGGCTGTCCTGCTCATTTAACTACACAGTTTCCAAGCACAGGGAGGCCCCTGGAGCCTCACTGATGAACTGTGAGGAGAGAAAAACATGCAAGTTCTCTCTTGGGCAAGAAGTGAATGCCAGGTGAGGGCAGAGACCTTCATTTTACATATGACTAAGTACTCAGCAGCTTCCTTTGTTAATTATTAAGTATAATTAAAATTTTACATTCACCAAAAAAAAGGTGCAGTGTTTCAGCTGTTGAAAATTTTGGCTGCCTCAGAAAGTTTGGCAATGATGCAAATTTCCTGCTGCACATAGGACAATGCAGATTGCTGGAATTTCCACAGTTTTCGAGAGGAATATTTTTTTTGGTTTATTTTTATTTATACTTATTTTGGCTGTTTTTTTTTTTTTTTTTTGGACTTCACAGTATCTTGAGTTTCAAATATAGTCCTTTCTTACATGTGTTATTTTTCAAATGTTAAATATTGCCGTTTTTCTGTTTTTGATCATTTTGTTCGAGCAGCATATATGTCATGACAGTGTAGTTTGGGGTTGATGGTTTTTCCTTTCTAATTCACTGTTATCATCAAATTCTTTTCCCACTAGAAGGGGTCTTTTAGACCAACACAGTTAGCATGTCTGAGAACCAATAGCCTGCATGTCTCAAAATGCCCCTGCCCTGAGTTTAGGTTGGTTTATGAGGTTGATGAACAAGTAAACATGCCTGGAAAAGCACTGTCTAGAAGGTGAGCAGGCATCTGAAGGAAGAAGAGGAGCCTGGCTGAAAGTAATTTTGAGAAAAGGTGCCAGGAGGCTCACAGACTTACCCTTTGTTCTCCTAACTCTGTTTCCAAAACATGGTCCTACATGACTGGAGAACAGACATTGGACTATTACTAAACTTGAACAGGGCTGAGGAGTCTGAGCTACCCACTAGTCTAAACCTGAATGCCATGCTCAGAATTGTAACAATACTGTTTTGAGCTTGCCCAGCTGCCCAGTCACCAGCCTGCAGCATCATGAAGCTCTGAATTGGATCTGAAAGGCTATCAGGAAAGAGGAGCCAGATCTTAGGCGTGTGATATCCCGGAAAATGGAGACCTCTATAGAACCGGTTCTGCTGATAGGCCCAAAGTTACTTCTGAATAAACACCCATTGAGACATGGGATGTCCTGATATTAAAATGTATGGGATTTACCTGGACAAACAGCTTATGAGGAGCGGGCATGGGACTCAGATTTCCACCAGCTCAACTTGCATTACAACAGGGATTCCGTAATGTTACCAGCCTGAGAAAGAACTGGTCCACCGAGTCGTAGTACATTTCCATTCCCTTGTGGAGAAAAGGGAGAAGAGAAACTTGGCTAAAGCAGTCTTACTGGGTTCTGCTCACATTTCTACTGCCAAAAGGAGCATGGTTACTCACCAACAGACACTGGGAACATGTACAGTCAGGCACTCATTAGGCTTAATAAGCTTATTGTTGTCCATAATCCAGGTCCCTGGTTAAAATATTCAGTGGCAGAATTGGGTTTGCCTCAATAGCAGAATTTTCTGTACAGCTCTAGGTCAGCTATGAAACATGATCGTTACATTTCACCCAAGACAAAGCTCTAAAACCTTTTACTCTGCCTGTCCTCTGAGGAAAGGGGAAAAACATCTATGAAGGTCCCTGGCAAGCCCCAGTTAAGGACTGGAGAGAAGATACAATGACAGAGAAAGAAGAAGAAGAAGAATGGACAACAAGTGGAAAGAAAAGGGAGAAAGAGTAAAAATAATAGAACATTTTAAATGTGAATGAGCTCACGTGTTACAGTGCTGAGCTGTCACACATTGTATTTATTGATTGTCATCTACTCTGTGCAGACAGGGCTCTAAGTGCTTTGCATGCATTATTAATTCATTGAGCATGCATTTGTTGTCCACCTTCTGTGTGGCAGGCCCTGGTTTCAGCAAAGAATGTTCTGTAGCAATGAAAAACCTCCTTGTTCAAGCCTGCACTTTAGTATGGAAGATTTTTTTTTTTTTAAGATTTATTTACGCATACAAGAGCTGGAGTACCGGCCAGTTTCTGAGGTGTGGGGGTGAGAGGACTCACCAGAGACAGAGTGGGGAGCAGAACAGGCAGTTTGACTGAAATCCACTGCTGAGGGGAGCAGCAGGCGAGTCAGAAGAAGTCTGCTGCGCCATGTGGGTAGCTCCCTGGTGGGGGATCGAACTCTTACTGCAGTAGCTGCGGACAGCTTCATAGTGCTGACGCTTAACCCCTTGGGATGTAAGGGAGACAAAGGTTAAAGTGTCTGTCTCAGGGCTTTGAGATGCTAGAGTAAAAGGATATGTCTGTGTCCATGCCTCCATCCTCTAACAGAAAGGCTTTGGAAGTTCCCACTATAGCCAATTTCATGAAAAGACTAAATGATAAATGTTTGAAGAAATATGCTTCTTTATTATGTCAAATGTATATGGTGATCTGAAGTGCTCAAAAGTCTGAGTAGATACCCAGCAATATTCTGTTTTAATGAAAAGATAAGTCATTTGTCACAAGCAATGTTCACCAGCGTATATTAACCATCTTTTCTCCCAGCCAGGTTTAACAACCGATTAATTCTGACTGTGTGGGCTGGCAGGTCAGCTGTGGGCCCGCTCAGCTCACTCCGGATCTGCATTCCGATGGTGGGCTCAGCCGGGACTCCAGTTCTCTGGTGCCCTTTCTCCCGGTAGTCTCTTGACAAGTCCAGGCTGGGCTTCCATACAGAGTGGCATGAGTGGCTCAGGAGAGCAGAAGTAGTAGGAGCCAGGCCTCCTGGAAGACCTCAGCTTGAAACTGGCCAACACCACATCTGCCACATGACTGAATTGTCAAAGTAGGTCACAAACCCAGCTCAGATTCCAGGGGAAGGGAAACATATTCCACCTCTTGTTGCAAGAACTAGTAGCACTTGCAATGATGAGGACTGTTGACAACCATCTCTGTAAGCAATCCTCCTACCTCATTTGCTACATGCTAGAAACCATTTATTATCCACGAAACTTCATCGCAACCTATGGAAGTCACTGTTTTATCCCCATTTTACAATAAAGAAAAATTCATTCCTAGGAGGTTAACTATCCCTCTGCAAGTAGATGGCAGATCTAGGGCCAGATCTTACCCACCACTGAGTTCTCATTCACAGTCATCTCTCAATATGAGGAAGAGCAGAGTGAGAGGGATTGAACTCCATGTCTCCTCTCCCTGAGGGTAGCGGGAGAGCAAAGGAGTTAAGAGCCTGGACTCTCGAGTCAACCCTTGGTTGGAATCTTGGCCCCAAGTCTCATTAGTATTAGCTCTGTGACTGGGCTAGTCAGTTTCAATTTTGTCACTGGCAGAAGAGGACTGATAGCACGATCTGCCCATTAGGAGATAATGCAGGTGAGGCAGGGTAGAGCATGTGCTCGGTGAACGTTACTGACTGAATCTAGCCTCCTGGTTAGAGTGCCCGAAATCGAGCAGGATGCAGCCCTAAGACCATGGGCTCCCTGGCCCCTGCTGACCAATGACCCTGAGACTAGGTGACTCAGTCACCATCGTCCTGCCCACCTGGCTTCTGATTCTGCTTTGCCTCTGGACCAATGCTGCTGCTGCGGGGACCATGACTGCAGTTCCTACCCCACGGTGGCTTCCCCGTGTCCCCTCTGCTCAAGTGTCGCAGTCCCCTCTTCCCTCTGGAGCTGCCACCTCAGGCTAGAGATCTGGACGCATCCATGTTGACCTGTAACCCTCTCCCTTTGTCAGGGCTCGGTTAATTCTGCTACGCAGAGGGAGCAGCTCCCAGAGGCTCATCCCATGAGTACCTTTTTTATCTTTGGCTACTTACAAGAGGCTCACTAGCATCCCTTTCTAGCACGGGAGCGAATGGAAGGCGCCCCAGGTCAGGAAATTTGGGGGATGTTTCCCCTGCTAACTTAGCTCCTTTTCTGCTGCCCGTGCGCTATAAGAACTGCGGTGGTTCCGAAAGAGCGACCACTAGGTGGCAGGGGAGTCCCGCTACTCAGCTCATTACCTTCCTCCCCCGCTGTCGCCTCAGTCGCAGCCAAGACACAGTTCCTTCCAAAGTGGGTGAGTTGCTTAGAAGTCAGGTTGCCTATCCACATGCAGTTCAGGCTGGCCAATACGTCTCAGGTACACTCTTTTGAGAATTCACTGGGATGTCACTAATTCCCTCGGAGAGCTCTCACAGGAGTTACATTACTGAAGCAGTTTTTACAGCCCTTGGCTTGAAAAGACATGGGAAAAGCAAACAAACCTCAGCTTCTTTAGGGCACGGCCAAAGCTGATAGTTTTTCCGTCTAGTTGTTAACACCGATGGGCCAAAGGTCTGTTGGGTCAAGAGTTCATAGGTTCCAAGGCTATCACTTCATTTATAGGATGGTAGACACATCCACCTCTCACTTCCCAATGAGATCCCAAAAGCTTTTCTGGGGGAGATGGAACGTTCAGTGGCTTCTTGGGTGAGAAGCAGCTGTAGGAGCATCGCTTCTTGCAGGTACATCCCCATCCCCACGGGAATCCAGCCTGCCAGTGGATCCTCTTTTAACAAAACAGAACCGAAGGTACAAAGAAGGGAGGAAAGGTAAAGGAAAGGCCAGGAGTGCGGACAAAACTCTCATCTTACAGGGTGGGCAATCAAGAGATGCCATCTATACAGGACAGAGGAGGATGTTTCATGTATCACTTAATCCACACAGATAGAGTTAACATGGAGGAACTGCATGAGGTTGCTACTACACCAGGAGGAGAGGGAAGGGGAAGCAGGAGGGTGGGGATGTAAACAGGCTAAACCTCAAGTACTTTAACAGGGTCTGTAGATGATAGCTACAATAGAGAAAGCCAGAAATTGCACTTACAAGCATGTTATGTAAAGACATGGAGGAAATCACATGAACTAAAAGGCAGAAGTGGTTCACAGTCCTGACTTCTGCAGGCGAGCAGATGGAGGGCTGGGCAGGGGCGTGGCAGTACAGTGGAACTTACTAATCAACACTTGGACTTAAGAAAAGGCAAGGATAGCAGCTCTTAGGGTAAAGCAGATATCTGGGTTCCTGGGAACAAGTACCACTGAGTTCCTAGTTTAGGTTCCTGTAGCTGATACGAATTACCAAATGTAATCACTGCTTGTTTACTTAGAGGTCACTTTAGTATAACCGTAATTGCCAGTTAGAAATTAGAAAGCAACAAACAAACCAGCACTCTAAGGAGCAAATGTTTCCATTTTTACTTCCTTAGCAGCCTTTCAGCCCATTCTTGAGTATGCAGCGCAGCAGAACAGCGGCGCCCTAACCAGGAGATCTGTCAGGCCGGGTCCTCAAACTCCCTGTTCTTTACCTTCTTTTGGAACGCAATTCCAGTCCCTCAGCAATGACAGGTCATTCTTCGAAACACACCGGAATTGGACAATTCTCACCACACCCACCCCAATACTCTATTCTACTTGGAGTCATCACTTCCCTCACTTGGGCCACTGCAATAGCCTGCTGCTTCCAGCCCTGCCCTAGACGTCACACAGCAGCCATGGAAGTCACATCAGTCATTTGTAAAACGTAGGCCTGTAAGATGCACACGTCCAGCTCACCTTCTACCTCTGGCACCCTCATCCACTCCTTCCAGCCACACTGGCTTCCTGGTTCTTCCTAGGTCCTGCTGAGCATGCTCCTGCCTCAGCCTGCAATGGTCTCCCAGAATCCAAATGGCTTGCTCTCTCCTTCCCTTCACGCTCTGCTTTGTCACCTCGCCAGTGAGGCCTTCCCTGGTCACCTAGCACAAAACAGGCGCGCCTCTCCTTCTCTCAGCACTCTCCAGCCCCCGCCTTGCTGTTGTTCTCCACAATACTTATCATCACAGAAATGTTACACATATTTTCTGTATTGCCTTTTTTTTTCTCTGTTAAAATATAAGTTCTAGGAAAGGAGGTGGGAGGAGACTTAGGGATTTTTTTCCACTGCTATACCACATTGCCTGCCACTTAATTAGAGGTTTGATAAATTCTGCTGCTTAAGTGACAGCCCCAACAAGATACTACTAGTAGATAACGTAGATTATTTCATTATTTCCCCAAGGGTGAGACCTATTTATGGGAGATGATTTTAGATAGTACAAAAATATGCATTAAGTATCACTGAATGAAGTGGAGTCTTTTGGACATTTTAATCCCTTTCATTATGTCAAGGTCTCATTTTTTTTTTTATAGAGGCATTTTTATTTATTTATTTATTTGTTTGTTTGTTTGTTTATACATGCACTGGGTACAGTCAGAAGCGAGGGAGTGTGAGAGAATTCACCAGAGCCAGAGCGGGGAGCAGAGCAGGCAGAAGGACCGAAGTACACTGCTGAGGGGAGCAGCGGGCGGCAGGAGAAGTCTGCGCGCCATGTGGGACCCTCCTCCGGTGGCCGGGGAGCAGCCGGGGATCGAACCGGCGCCGCAGAGGCTGCGGGCAGCTTCGCAACCCAGCGCTCAACCGCTGCGCCACCTGAGAGGCCCATGTCAAGGTCTCATTTAGTGCTATTTTGTTTCTAATACTTACTATTTTATCCTGTTAAAGAATGGAGAACAGGGCCTTATATGTAAAGCCTACAAAGAGACTTTTGTAGGGAACTTTATCTTACCAGAATTTAATAACCTTGTTTTAGTTTGTATTTTTAAGGGCACTATCTCAATTATCTGCCTGGCAACATGTTAATATTCTTGGTTTTTTTGAAGATTTATTTTTATTTATTTATGCATATAAGAACTGGGGTGTAGGCCAGAGGTGCAGAGGGTGAGAGGATTCACCAGAGACAGAGTGGGGAGATTGACTGAAATACATTGCTGAGGGGAGCAGAGGGAGAGATGGGAGAGGTCTGCTGCGCCATGTGGGTCAGCTCCCTGGTGGGGGATGTAACTCATGCTGCAGTGGCTAGTGATAGCTTGATAGCTCTGAGACTTTAACCCCGGTGCCACCAGGGAGGCCCAACATGTTAGTGTTTATATTTTACAACTCTTTTGAAAAAACTATCATTTTGCATATGAGGTAAATATAGATGAATTTCCCATAAGAACGGTTTCCTTTGAGATAAATGTGCATGAAGTGAAGTTTCAATTCACTGTTTAATATATTCACAGTGCTGTGTAACTATCACTAATACCTAATTCCAGAATTAGGTATTAATTAGGTAATTAGGAATTAGGTAATTCCTAATTCCATCTCACCAGTGCAAAATAAAATCTCATACCCTTCAGTTATCACCCTCACATCTTTTCATTCCTCCCAATCTAAACCAACCACTAATGTACTTTTCTGTCTCCATAGTTAACTAGCATGGGCATTTCACATAAATGGAATCATGGATGTGGACCTGGGGGACTTTTTCTTTTCTTTCACTTAACATGTTTTCAAGCTTCGTCCTTGTTGGAGCATGCATCAGTATTTCATTCTTCTCTTATGACCAAATGACAGTCCGTTGTCTGGAAATAACACATTGGTTTAACTCTTGCCCATGGATGGACATTTTCATTGTTTTCACTTTTTGGCTATTAAAATAATGCTGCTAAAAAAAGTAATGCTACTGTGTGCACAGTCACCATACAGGTTTTTGTTCGAACATCGGCTTTTAGTTCTCTCACTATATATTTAGGAGTAAAACTGCTGGGTCAGAATGCAGTAATTTTATATGTAATTTTTTTTCTTTCTATGTATAACTTTTTGAGGAAACGCCAAACTGTTTTCCAAAACGGCCTTCCTATTTTAAAAGCATTCCCACGAGCAAGGGGACCACCATTCCATTGCTCCACGTTCCAACTGGAACTTGGAATTGTCCATTAACTTTTATTTAATCACTTTTTAGATTTAACAGTCAAAGAAAATACAAATAGGTATTTCACCGTGTTCAGTTTGACTCTCCCTATTGACCTGGAACGTTCTGCATTTCTCACAGGGATACTGACCCTCTGGTCTCTTTGGGGAATATACATCCAAGTTCTTTGTCCACTGTTTAATCGGGTTATCTTTTCGCTGTTGAGCTGTAAAAGCCCCTTTAAACAAGTCTCAGAATCTACTTAAAGGAAAACATTAGTCAGCAGCAGCGCCCCCGGGGGACACCGGCCCCGGCAGAGCACAGAGGACTAGGGCGCAGGCCCGGCCGCGCGCCAGGGCGGGAACCCGGAGACACCGGGGGCAAACCCCCTGCGCCTCCAGGGCGGCGCCCGTCCCGCGGGGCACAGCTTTAACCTCGCGGGGGCCCCTTTCTCGGGCTCTGAAGGTGGGGGGGTCTGCCCGTCACGAAGCGCCGCCGGGGAGCGCGCCCCCGGGGCCGGCACCTGCGCACCCAGAGGCGCCCCCCCGCGCCACGCGCACACACCTTCCCGCGCAGGCTCCTCGGCTCCCGACCTTGGCGGCGCCCGCGCGTGACGCCGGAAGGCCCGCGACGCCGCCCGACTTCCGCTTCCGGGCGCGGCCGACTTCCGGCGGCGTGACCCGAGCGCCAGGGCCGGCGTGGCGCGGAGCCGGAAGGTCGGCGCGGGCGGCCGGTAACCGGGCGGCGGGGGGAGGGGCCGGCAGGGGGAGGGGCGGCAGGGCGCTCCAGACCCCGAGCCGCGGGCGGGAGGGGCGGCCAGGGCCAGCGCCCGGCTGAACCGCCTCCGGGCCGCCGCGGCGCCCGCGTCGCTGCCCGCCCGGGCCGCCCCCGCGCCCGCCCTGCTGCGACCAGGCCCGCGGCGGGCAGCCGTCAGGCGCCGCTTGGCCCCGGCCCGGGAGGCCCGTCCCTCGGCGCCTCGCTGCCGTTTCCTCGGCGACGCGAGCCCAGTGAGGGCAGGCGGTGGCTTTTCTTCAGGTCGCCCCTCCGGGCTCGGAACGAGTGCGGCGTCGGCCCCGCGCCCGCTGGGGCGGCTCCGAGTCACCCTCGGGCGGGCTGTGAGCGCGGAGGCCCCGCCCCCAGCCCCCCCCCTTCCAGCGCCCGCCCCGCTTCCCGAAACGGGCACCGGGCTTAGCGTGTGCGCCGCGTCACAGCCTTTTCCATGCCCAGCCAAGGGCCCCGGAGCCGGGCCTGTAGTGGGCACGCAGGTGTTTGCAGGTATTAGAAGTACGTGTTCAGTTAATCGCGTTTACACGTGTAAAATCACTGTCCGCGCCAGGAAGGAAGATAGCCTATTAGCACGTGTTAGTTATGGGCCTGGCGATAGGCTCTTCTCGCTTAAGGCTTCCCCCACCTCTGAGAGAGGAGAAGTAACTCCCATTTTGCAGGTGAGGGAATCGAGGCATAGAAGAACTAAGTTCTTTGAGATCGTTCAACCTGTGTGGGGGGAAGGATTCAAACCCATGTCTCCTTGAAATTCCAAAGCCCCATGTTTTTAACTGCTAGTTTTAAAAGAAGATGCAGAAATGTATCTGTGCTCTGGCAGCACCATTGGGGGATTGTGAATGTGTCATTGTGAGACGGCTCTTAGCAACATAAGTGATCCTGAACTAAACGTTGCTGTGGTGGAAACTCGTTTATCTGTCTCCTTTTCTTCCGTGCTACAGATGTTAGAACTGTACCCTGTACTCACGTTTATTCGGTCCTTTTGTTTTCGATCAGTTCCAGTTTAGGTGTGTTGACTTGGTGTTGCCCTGTTCTTTCAACTGTCCTATACTTGAAATGTGAAGTGGTAATGTTTGGGTTTTATTTATTTTTCTTCTCCTTTTAAAGGGACTCTATTAGGGACCTTGGAAGTGCTGCCAACATGTCTGATGTACAAGAAGCCACTAACCAACTCCTGGATGTGACCCTTCATGAGAGTCAGAGCTCAGTCCAGGAGACAGAAAGTGGTTCCAAGAGTGAGTCAGAGCATCTCCAAGTCACTATTGGAGCGACTGTACCAACTGGCTTTGAGCAAACAGCTGCAGATGAAGTGAGAGAGAAATTGGGATCATCATGCAAAATCAGCAAAGACCGGGGCAAGATCTACTTTAACATTTCAGTGGAAAGTCTGGCTCAGGTTTGAATAAAGCAATATTTAAAATAGTTTTCTAAGTGGGTCTTTTATGGTTACTTTGGTTTAAGGACCCCCACTAGAATCCCTTTTGTTTTTTCTTTGCTCTGCCCCCAATCAGGCGATGTTAAAGTATTTCTGCATTTTCTATTGGCTACTGGCTCGTAAGCTTGATGAACAGGTTTGCTGTACTTTGAGAAGTTATCCAAATACCTCCTGAGATGAATTCACCAGAAAGAATCCTATGTGAATATGAAGAAATCCTGAGTATTTGTTACAGATCTCTGACTTTATGTACTTCCATATGTAGGTGAAATTTAAGCTTTGGTGATACAGCATGAAAAGAGATTTTTTTTTTTTCTTTAATCTGTGTCAAAGAATTTCTTGCCCAGAAGTAATTAGGAGTTAGTGAAGGTGAGAAGTGAAGGTCAGTAGACTGTCATCCCACTAGAGATAAGCTAATCTATCTATATAAGTTGATGTATGTGTTGCTACATGAGCAACATGAGGGCAGGAATTTTTCCTTTTTTCCCCTGCCAGTATCTCTCAAGCTCTTGGTGTCTGGCATATTGTAGGCATTTGTAAATACTCAGATGAATAGGTAAGAAAATATTTTCTAGTGAGTATTTTAGTTACTGACAACCTTTGCGAAGATAGGCTCTATTCGACTTGTCCCTTGTGTCTGCAGGGGGTTGGTTCCAATACCCTTCGATACCAAAATCCACAAATGCTCAAGTCCCCTCTATAAAATGGCATAGTATTTATATATGATCTACATATATTCTCTTGTGTGCTTTCAATCTCTAGATTGCTTATGCCTAATACGATGTAAATATTATATAATCATTCTTATACTGTATTGTTTAGGGACTAATGATAGAGAAAAATGTCGGTACATGTTCAGTATGTACACAGCCATCATAGCCCTCACTAGTTTTGTTTTTTTTTTTTTTTTTAAGATTTATTTATTTATGCATACAAGAGCTGGGGTACAGGCCAGAGATACAGGGGGTGAGAGGATTCACCAGAGACAGAATGAGGAACAGAACAGGCAGATTGACTGAAATACACTGCTGAGGGGAGCAGCACGGCGAGTCAGGAGAGGTCTGCTGCGCCATGCGGGTAGCTCCCGGGCCGGCCAGGGGTGGAACTCATGCTGCAGAGGCTGCAGATTGCTTGCTTCATAGTGCGATGCTTAACCCCTTGCGCCACCACGGAGGCCCACTCACTAGCTATTTTTGATCCTTGGTTGGTTGAATCTTTCCTTGTGGAACCTGCTGGACAGATGGCCCACTGTATTATTCTTACTCATTGTTGGATTTGGGAATAAGTAATTTGTCCAGGGTCACTCAGCTGGTAACCACAGAGCTGGAGCTCAGACTGCTCTTACTCACTGCAGCATACAGTTTTTTCCCAGAGCCCCAGGAGGGAAATACCATGATGCTCCACTTAATTGTCTTCATCCTTCCCTTCTTCCCCAGACTCATGTTGGCCACATAATCGTTTAAGCTTCTGTCTTTCCATCTCTTCCTTTTCTGGGGGAATGGAAGCTGATTGGTGACTCTAAAGATGGAGGCAAGGAAGATAGGGAAATTTTAAATACAGATTATAGATATTAGAAGCTTTAAATCTTTGTGCCTGGTTTTACTATATAAATCTTGATTGTGTGATTCAGGAGCTTTTTCCAAAATTTTTTTTTTAACATCTTTGTTCCTCCCCAGGTTCATTGTCTGAGATCAGTTGATAACTTATTTGTGGTTGTTCAGGAATTTAAAGATTACCAGTTCAAGGAAACAAAGGTGAGCCATCCCTAACTTTTGTTCTCTGAGTTTCAGCCAGCTTCTCCAAGGAGAATATTTCTGTTATTTCTGTTTTTCAGATTCTGTCTTATCATTTGGTGTTACTACTGCTTTTATTGGAATAGAATGCTGGGAGTCTTTTATAATAAAATGCAGAGATTTGTTGACAATCTAGCCCAAAAGGCTTTTTTAAAAATCAGTTTTGAAACACATCCAGATTTATAAGAAGTAAAGTAAATTGCTTGACTTTCTTACAAAGATAGATATCTTAGATTAGCTTTGCTGATATATATGGTTCCAAAATAGACTTGCTTCCAGACTGTGAACCAGAGCAAGTGACAGTTTGTGTCATCTACAAATAACACTTTCTCTCACCATTCTGCTTTTGCCTGCTTTCTTCTCTAACTTCATTTTTGAAAGAAAGCCAGAGTAATATCTAAATACTCTTTCAGTTGTTAGGACAACAGCTTTGCCTCCAACTTGTATTTAGCATGTGATTCCTAAATATTCAGACGCTGCTTAAGCTGAAGGTTGAAAATAGATTGCAGTAAGCCTTTAGTGTTTTTCCACATTGTTTTTGGTCAGGTTTCCAGACCAAATGCTTGAAAACTTTCTTTCAGTTTTATTGCCTATCTTAGAAATAATCTTTTTTAAACAACTATGGTATGCTGCTAAATTCTTTCTCTCTCTCTCTTTTTTTTTTTGGGCAAAAAAGGTTGATTCCAAAACATTATTCAAAAACCTATCAAAGTGATATGAACCCACAGCCTAGAAAATATATAACCAGATCTACAAGAATTCAGACTGAAAATAGTTTAAATTATCTTAACTGAAAGCTACTATTACAGATTTCTGATATTGTTGAATCATACCTGTGAAACTAGTAAAACTAGTAAATAACAGGGAGGCTACTGAAATTTTTTGCTGCTAAGTATTTCAGTTTTAACAGCTAGTTCGATACTTGAATAAATGTTAACTGACATGACAAAACAAAACTAAAAAAATCAAAAAGCTCCACTTTAAATTTAAATTTGCACTGCTAACTTAGTAGTGCATAATTAATACTTTGCAAATTCTTCCATTTTTGCCATCCTACAGTTTGCATTATTTGGGTTTTTGACTCTATAGGTGAGTTTGAGATTGTGAAATGGTTCTATGTGAGCAGCCTTTCAGAGTTGTCTTGTAAATTACTACAAATGGGCTCCTGTGGAAATCCTAAAAGGTGGGCAGTAAGGATTCAGGTAAATTTCAAATCTCTGCAGGGGAAACTTCTGTATCTATGAAGAATTGTTAAGCATATCACTTTGTGGCGTTAAATTGCAACGTACCCTAGTAAAACCTTATTTTTAAACAATTGCTTCCTCATTCTGTTGACCATTGAGTTTATCCTTTGTCGCATTGTATTTTCCCATGTCGTATATAAATCTGTTAAACAGTATAATGGGTTTTCTTATTTTTAAGGAATCAGACAATAGCATGAGTCTGCCTGTTTCTAAAAAAGGCTAACTAATCTGTGAGTCTGAAAACCTAGTTAATACATGAATTAGAACAAGACTATAAAGACCAAAAGCATTGGCAGTGAAAACTCAGTGTTTAGTCCTCTCTTCTCATCCCATTCACTATTACCTTCTAGAGCTGTCATCTAAATATGTGTATTTCACTTACTTACACAAATGAAAGCATATGCACTGTTTTGTAGTTTTGTCCACCTCTTGGCAATCACACCAATGTCATCGTTGGAGACAAGTGCATCAGAATCAGTGCATTCTAGGATGTTAGGTTTTTTCCTCACTCTTGTTACAGCTGTGACATAGTGACTAGTTTATACACAGACATGTACATCCTCCGCCTATGCATCATTTTTCTGTTTAATAAGATAGTTTATCCTATTGATATTTATTGATGTGATACAAATATTTGGTCTTAGCTCCATCATGCTTATGCTATACATTTTGCTTAAAAATGCCTTCAAGTTCTGTATTTTCTTAGCTCTTTCCATGTGTGTGTCTTCTAGGATACTTTGGAAGGTTTGTACTTATTCTTTAGCTGTTACTTTGTAGCTCCAACTTGATCAGATCTTAACTGTTTACACCGCATTTTTTAAAACTAAGCAATGGTGAAGTGGACATATTTAACTTCTCCTTTCCTTCCAATTTTATTTTTCTTAGTGTCAACCCTTATGCCATCAATATGTTTCATTTATTAATCAGCTTAACATCTATCCTTTGACCTCTGGCTATAAGAGTAGAGGTTATCAACCTGCTTGAATTACTTCCCACCTTTACCTTTCCCTTTCAGCTGCATGCCAGTTTGTAACATTTACATTGTGTTGTAGTCATTATTCCTGTATTTCCATTTTGGTCCTGAACATACCTGCCCTCTGTTAGAGATTTTTCTTTTTATCTCTTGGGTATAAAATTTGGCGTTACATTTTCCTTTAAGAATATTGTAGGTCTTATGCACTCTCACCTAGCATTAGATGTTGCCATGGACCCCTACTTAAAATTTTAAGTCCATTCTGATATTTTCCCCCTTAATTATTGCTTTCCGGGCCTCCCTGGTGGCGCAGCGGTTGAGCGCTGGGTTGCGAAGCTGCCCGCAGCCTTTGCGGCGCCGGTTCGATCCCCGGCTGCTCCCCGGCCACCGGAGGAGGGTCCCGCATGGCGCGCAGACCTCTCCTGCCGCCCGCTGCTCCCCTCAGCAGTGTACTTCGGTCCTTCTGCCTGCTCTGCTCCCCCCTCTGGCTCTGGTGAATTCTCTCACCCTCCCATGCTTCTGACTGTACACCCAGTGCTTGTATCAATCAATCAATAAATAAATCTTTAAAAAAAAAAAAAAAATTATTGCTTTCCACCTTATTTTTGTTTACTGCTCAGAGGATTTTTTTAAAAATCTTTGAAGTCTCATAAGATAACCAGAATATGTCATTGTTGATAATTTCTTGTCAGGTTATGTTAACCTGTAGAGAGATTGACAGCCACTTGCTTTTCTGGGAAATTTTCTAGAATTTTTAAATTTTTGTTTCATTGTTTTAAATGCCGCCTTCTGCGATGCCAGTTATACATATATAGGATCACTTGACTTTCATGTTCTTTTGTTTTCTCTCTGCTCTTTTATTTACCTTTTTACAGATTTCCATCGTTACTGCCTTTGCTTTTTTTCACATCCCTTACTCTGTTTCCAGCAGTGTTTTCTGTATGTGGTGTACTTTCTTAGTCCACTTTTTCTTGAAAGAGTCAAACTCCTGTTTCATCTCCTTGTGGCTCACTTCATCTTTCTGCTTTTATATCTTTGCTTTGAGTTCTTAATTTACAAAGGGATTGCCTCATTATATGATCAACTGCTTGGGGTTTTTTCCTTTAAAATTTTTTTACTTAAAAAAAATACAGTTTATATGTATACACAGCACAACGCTCCGAAGGAAGTCAGTCCGTGCGCAGTAAGTTGTCCTTCCCTGCCTTTCCCAGTTCCCTTCCTTGGAGGTAACCCCAGCCAACAAGTTTATTACTTACAATTTAATTTTGCAGCCCAACTTCAGATCTACCAATTTGTTTTGTAGTATTTTTTTAGTGACTTAGTTTGTATATATCTTCAATTTCAGTGAGATTTTAATTTCCTTAATTACAGACATTATTTACTCTCTTACTCTGTGCCCTCATTACCCCCAACATAACAATTATTGTCTCCAGGCAATTAAAGTGGTAAGAAATGAGTAAAACAAATGGATTTCATTCTCTGTCCTTCACAGGAAGAAGTTCTAAAAGATTTCGAAGAGTTGGCTGGGAAACTTCCATGGTCAGATCCTTTAAAAGTATGGAAAATTAATACGAGTTTCAAGAAAAAAAAAATTAAGCGTAAAAAGATAAATCAAAATTCAAATAAAGGGAAGACTGGTAATGGACAAGGAGACAAAATAGATGAGAGAGGTGTTAAAAAAGAGTTTACTAACAATTCCTTAGATTCACGTATCTTAGACTATTATGAAAATCCAGCCCTCAAAGAAGAGGTATCAACGCTAGTAGGTGATGATTTGGCATCTTGCAAAGATGAGACTGATGAAAGCTCAAAAGAAGAAGCTGATCCTGAAGTGCTAAAGTTTAGAGTCACATGCAACAGGGCCGGAGAGAAGCATTGCTTTACCTCAAATGAGGCTGCAAGAGATTTTGGGGGTGCTGTTCAAGATTATTTTAAGTGGAAGGCTGACATGACCAACTTTGATGTAGAGGTAGGTACAGACTGATTATGATGATTCCAGAAGGCTGTGTTTGTAGATATGTAGCATTTTCAGACTAACGCAATCTCACCCAATCTTATGGACAGTTAAAACTGCAGCGACAGAACAGAACTAATAGACCATGGCCAGCAAGAGTATGGGTTATTGAAACATTTAGGTCTAGAACCAGATTTTGACTCCACAACTCTGATACTATTCTATGGACAAGATCTTCTGCCTGAGCCTCTATTTCAAATGGAGCCAGCGATAGTATATACCTTTAAGTGTCGCCTGAAGCGTAAATGAGATGGATGATACATCTGAAGTATTTGGTACAGTACCTGGCATATACTAAGTGCTTAATAGATGGCAGCTCTTAAGACTTGAGTTTTGTAATTCTCAGCTAATACTTCTTACTACTTTATGCGGACTTTAAGATTATAAAATCAATCAGTATTAAAACAGTTGTTTTTCTGTGTCATGGTTCTAATAGAGTTTTGCTACTAGAAAAAAAAAAAAAGTACATTTTTAAAACAAACCTTGACCTCCGAAAATCAGGGTCTTTACTCTTTCTGGAATTCTTCTAGGGTCTTAAACCCAGGAGCCACTTTTTAGCCTGCTGACTGTCCTCAGTCTTCTGTTACACAGGTGATTTATTTACACATGGGCCACACAAACTTGACTTTCAGTCCCCAATAGTTTATTGCCCCTGGCAGCTGACATTTTTATTAGGAAGTCATTTTCTGTTGTAGGACATGTAAAATTGGGACAAGTCACTTACTCTCTGTATCTTTTTTTGGCATATGAAATCAGAAGGACACTTTGAGTTTCTTTTTGTCCTCATACAGCTGTTGTAAGAAAGACTTGGTTGACTAGGACAATAAGATTCAAAAGTTACCAAGTGAGCTTAGAGGACATATGCTAGAGCCATACTGTTCAGATCCCACTTACAAGCTGTATGATGTTTGGCAAATAAGCTGATACCTTTGTGCCTCAGCTTCCTCATGTATAAAAGAGGATAATACCTAGGTGTGGATGTGAAACGAGGTAGTGAATATAAAGTGTGCACTGGAACAATAGCTTGCCTATCTGAGTGCTGTGTAGAAGTGTCAGCTGCTGCTGCTAAGAGCATGAGGAAAGGTTAGTTGGGAGATTGGAGAACTTTTTTTTTTTTTTAAAGATTATATCTTTTTTTTTTTTTTATTTATTAGATTTATTTTTTATTTATTTATTTATACAAGCAGTGGGTACAGTCAGAAGCGCGGGAGGGTGAGAGAATTCACCAGAGCCAGAGCCGGGAGCAGAGCAGGCAGAAGGACCGAAGCACACTGCTGAGGGGAGCAGCGGGCGGCAGGAGAGGTCTGCGCGCCATGTGGGACCCTCGCCCGGTGGTCGGGGAGCAGCCGGGGATCGAACCGGCGTTGCAGAGGCTGCGCTTCGCAACCCAGCGCTCAACCGCTGCGCCACCGGAGAGGCCCAATATATTTTAATTTTACTTTTTACTTGACTAGTTCATACTTAACCATGTGTTCAGAAAACTGTAACTGGAACAAAACATAATTTCACAGATATTGAGTCAAGTTTAAAAATACTAGGTAAGAAAAGAACACTCTTCTGTATACAGGTAAACTTTACAGTAAGCCGTGCCCAAGATCAATGGATTTGTCTACACTTGGATTAAAAAGATAACAGGGTAGTTATCTTTGCCCCATGCCTTTAAGTTTCCCAGTCAGCTTTTAGAAGCTTTTTTTTTTGGCTAGTGTGTTATATGACACTAGCAACAAAACTTGGGATAAAGTATTTTGTCATGGGAAAAAGAGATAAGTAGCTGATGAAGCAAATATGGCACAAATTCGCAGCTAGTTAATCTAAGCAAAGGGCATATTGAGGAATTCAGTGTGTGGTATGCTGTGGCATTTCTGTATGCTTGAAATTTTCTCCAAAACAGTTAAAGAACGTTTGAAATGCTTACTAAAAAGTGTATACACCTTCAAAATGTTTGTTATAAAGATTCTGGTGATACTTGTTTTAGCTAATGTATAAATACAACAAAAGAAAAGAGTAAAATTGATTGAAAATGTTTGAAACAGTATATTCTATTTTCATTTGTATGAACTTATGAAAAAGAGAACCAATTTATGGTGGTCATCAGATTATGATTGCTTTGGGTGACTGTTCACTGGGAGGGGCGCAAGGAGTGCCTTCTGGTGTGCGGGATACTGTGTGCCTTTACCAGGTGGTGGTTGCACAGTCTGTATCATGAAGATTCACTGAGCTGCACTCTTCAGGCTTGCGTAGTTAGCCGTATGCAAAGTATACCTCGACGGTGAGATCCAACCTCAAAAAAAAGCCTTAGTAATAAGTACATTAAGTACATTTTGAACAACCGTAAGCTATTGTGTCTTGTTTAACTTTATTGTAGGTTCTTCTGAACATCCACGATAATGAAATCATTGTGGGCATTGCATTGACAGAGGAGAGTCTCCACCGAAGGAATATCACGCATTTTGGTCCAACAACACTTCGATCTACCCTAGCCTATGGGATGCTGAGGTTAGAAAAGGGGCTGAGATGTCTACATTGAAGTGACCCTTTGATTTGAATTTTGCCTTGAAAACACTTTGTTTTGTGAGGTACTGTGATGGAATTTAGTGCCTGAAGAACAGGATAAAAAACTTTGTCTATTTCTTTCACCTCTATCCAATATTGATTGCTTGTGATCCTGAAACTATTACTTAATTACTATCTCAGTTGTCTGATTTTAAAATGGGAAGAACAGTTCTCATTGCCTTTTGAATGGGGTTGCCACAATTATGAGTAGGAGGGCTGTACTGTATGTTGTTAGATAGAGCAAAGTTTGCTTTCTTTCTTTTCAGAGTAGTAAAGCAAATGAAACCGAGGTATTTTAAATCTGTTTAATGTGTAAGTGAATACAGAGAGCTTTTATGTATATTTTTACATTTTATCATCACAGCAATGCAGGAATCATTCTGGAATGTTCCACCTTTCCAAGAGCAAGACCTCGATTTATTTGTCCTTTGCCTTCCTCCCTTTTATTGGGTTCTTCTATTCGGACAAGCTTATCTTTTCTTGGTTTTTGTCTTCCAGACTGCAGAATGGTTTTGATGTGAGACTCAAAGGTTTATTAGTAAGGATTAAATACAGAATAAGAACTAATTATAGTCCCTGCATATCCTGGTAGTCATTTATATTTTTTTGCTTCCAATCTTTGCTTCCTTTTTAATCCTGCTCATCCATGGAGTTAAGTTCAACGCAATTGGAAACCTGTCAGTTCAGTAGCAATAGAAAACTGGGTTCATTAAAGACAAGCTCCTAGTCTTCATTTAACACACATTTTTTATCTACTGCTGCGCATTAAGGCAGGAGCCCGGGAAGCAGAGCGTTACTGTGGATACAACTCTTAGAAACCTGAGCAAGCTAGTTTAAGATTTACAAAGTGATGACTTGTGGTGGAAGATTTATTGGAAAGATACGGAGAGATCTTGGGGAAGCCACAGAAAAACTGAAAGCCATGACTCAAGCAGGAAAGGAATCAGATCTTGGAAAACCCCCTCGCAACCGAGCTGTCACTTTTGTCTCTTCTGGGAGCTCTGGGCTCTTGTCTCTGTTCATCTGTGCACTTGGCTGCCCCTCATCTAAATTTATCTGTTTCCATTTTCAAATGATCAACCTATTCTGCTACAGCTTCTAGCTCTTCATTTCAAATTTTTGGGAGAGAAAAGCTGACTGACGTAGTTTTAGTCAAGGCTGCGCGCTGGCCCCAGCAGCAGTGGCTGGGAGGACCAGGTTGCTCACTCCCAGCAGGGCCACTGAGAGAGCCGTTTGCCCTATGTTGAGCAGCAGGAATGTGGTGGGGGGTCCCCCGAGCTGGGCAGGTGTCACAAGAAGAATCCAGGGTTAATCCCCAAGACTCCCAGTCTTGTCAGGGAGATAAATAGTTGCTTTACATGTAGCACATCGCATAGATCACGAAAAGATTAGCAGAACAAATGAAGGGAAGAGGAACGTTGTGACCTGTGTGAGGAGGGGCCGCTTCACAGATGGGGTAATGTCAAGTCACTGAGAGGGACCCCTTTCATCTTGACTCTAGGTCCCCTATTAGTTTTGTGTCCATGGACAAGTTTTGCATCGACTTGTTTAAACAATGGGAAGAATAAAAGTAACTTATCTCACAGTGTTCAGATAATTGGCCCAGGAATTCATCTAAACAACCTAAATCCATGCCTGACAAATAGTAAGTGCTCAAAGTAAAGCAATTGTTTTATAGCGAGATTATCTTAAAATTAAATTTACAAGGAAAGGAATACTGAATCTCTAATTGCCACTAAACTTACATCAATACATGTTTTATTGGCAACTTGTTTGAGTATTTTTTAATGTAACAGGTTTGCAAACAAAATAACACTGCTTTCTAAAGCATCTGTGTATATATATATACATGCAAACACACATGCAGGCAAAGGTCTAGAGGCTAAATTCCATCTAGTAGGGAAGTGGGATTGTAAGTATAATCAAAGTGGGTTTTTCGTTGTATGTAATTTTTTTTAAGCTCTAGAATACACAGGCAACATGTAATTACAAATGGACATTTACAATGAATATTGACCCAAGTTCCGTCCTGCTAGTGTAATGGGTCCTTGACCTTGTAACTTCAGAAACAGTCGCTGTGGAGGCCTCGGCTGTCAGTGACGTCCGCTCTTACAGGCTGTTTTCTTTTCCACAGGCTCTGTGTACCTCAACCTACTGATATCATAGTTGATCCAATGTGTGGAACAGGGGCAATCCCAATAGAGGTAATGATTTTCCTTTAGCTTTTAGATAGGCAGGGGAGATATCCAGAATGCTCTAGACCTGGTGGACAAATTAGACATAATGAAATCACCAAGACTGGGTCAGTAGACCAAAAGGTTTTGAAAGAATTACACTAGTAAAGCTAGAACTTCTGTGTCTAGCATGTAACTACTTACTACAAATAGCCAGGGACTAGATTGATTGTGGATTACAGAAAAGGCTGAGAATTACACACTGGTGAGTCCCTTTACTGTAACAGATTGGTAGAGTTGACAGAAGAGATAATTGAAGACGTAAGCATCAACTGGGGAAAGGTGATTTCATTTCTATAAAGTGGGAGTTTGCTTCTTAATCCTCTTAGGTTCTTTGAGAGAGTATAGCTGTAAAAAAGGAAAAACCTATGAACATCATTTCAATTTTTTAGGAAATCTAGCAAGGCTAGATACCAAACATTCTTAAATAGTTTCCAGAATTACGTCAACATCGCCTGTGAGAGACAGCTTGAAGAGTTGGAGTTGATGTTACAGAGGGACTGACATTTGAGCTGGGTCTTGAAACATGAGTAGGAAGGAATTCAGCAAGCAGGACAGCAGGGCATTTCAAGCAGGGGGAATAGCTTTGTTGACAGTATGTAGTTTTGCCACTTTAGAAAAAGCATTTGTTTATCAGATTGTCTTATTTATTGATGATTGAAATGAATTTTTTTTTTTTTGCAATTTGCTAATTCTGTTTTAATATATACTCTTGTCTTTTAGGGGGCTACTGAGTGGTCCAACTGTTACCATATTGCTGGTGATAATAATCCATTGGCTGTGAATAGGGCAGCAAATAACATCTCCTCCCTACTGACCAAGAGCCAAGTTAAAGAAGGGTAAACATTTCAGATACTTTGTAGCATGTCTAAGGCTTAATCACTTTTCATACCTACTTTATGAATTAATACCCCTAGTGATTTACAACATCATTTAGTCACTGTGAACGTATTGTGAGACTCATTTTAAATTTTATTTAAAGTTACATATATTAGAATTTTTAAATTTAATTTCCCCACCCTGATGGAGCTGCTTTCATTTGTCTTCCCTTTTTTTGCCTTATTTTTTCCTTCACATAGTGAAAAAAATATTCATAAAGACTCTTTGGTTTCACAGATTTTCAGACACTTTGTTTTTAGATGGTCTGTTTTTTAATGACTGCACAAGATTCCATTTGATAGAAATACTACAGTTTATTTAGTCTTTGTTCTATCATTTGGCACTTAAATGAACCTCGGGTTTGGAAGAAACCTGAAATGCATCCTGAGGCCCAAGCGCCCTAAAGAAAGTCTGCCCGTCTTGAATGACCGTTCCGTCATTAAAATCTCACATAGAGGCCACTGGTTCCGCCTTTGCAGGCTTGAGCGCGGGTCAGAGCTTTTCGTGAAATGGATCATCCCTGTACTTCTACAGGTACAGGTTTTTTCTCCCATAAAGAAAACCTCACCTCTGTCACACCAGGATTGACACCAGATGTTTGAAGAGCTACCAAAATCCCCCCTGCCTCTGCCCCACCCCTCCAGGCCTCTCTTCTCCAAGCAGAATACTCTGTGTCCTTCAGTCACATCCTCTCAATATCTGTGCACTGACAGCCCACCGCCTCTGGGAGAGGTTTTCCTCCAGGCGTCTGTGGTGGCACCCAGAGCCCTTGCCCACGACTCAGATGACGTGGTCACTCCATCCATGGCCTCCACTGTCTTTGGGAAGAATTGGTGAAAATGTTACCTTGTAGTATTTTTGGCCCTATGGTTATATATTTTGTTACAGATATTGGTACCCATGGTTGTAATATTCATGCTTACTGTGTTGTTTTTAGTGATTACTTGTTATTTTTTCTTAAATTCTTTTTTATAACCCTTAATCTCTGCTCATGTTTAATTTCTTTTTTGCCTGTTCTATTTTGTTTCTTAAACCAGTAGATTTGCCTTACCAGGGAGGATTTAAATCACTATAATTGTTATGTTCACTATGTCTTGTCACTTATATTTTTAGTCTTTTTCTTTCTTGGCCTTGTTTTTTAGAATGTACACGGTACATTTTAATCTTCAGACAAATACCTGTATACTTGTTCATTTTAGATCTGTTTCTTTGGGTTTCTTGGAACCCTGTAGATTTCACCAGTTTTTATCCTGGTCACTTCATAACCTTTTTATCTCCCTAATGTTCTGACTTTTCCCGGTTTCATCACTGTTTTCTCTTTAAGGTTGTTTCTGACTTTCCCAGTGTTTCATCACTGATGATGTTTCATCAATAATGTTTTACATTGTCAGTTGTGTAATTTACTGTCTCAAACTGTTTTCAAAGTTGTCTGTTGCAGTTCTTTGTGTTGCAATCTTCTTTTCCCCTGATCTGTTTTTCTTAAATTTAAATGAAACAGATGTAGATATCTTTTGAAAGCCACTCTTGACCATTTGTAAAATGTACTAATCATTCTTACAGATCTCATCACTGTTTTATCTTGTGACTATATGCTTTCTTCCTACATGCTACTTTAAAATTTTGCCTATTAGCTTGCTGTTGTCCTGATAGCATGTTAGCAGCAGTTTGTACTTTATAGCAGTCTCTTCAGAAACACTTTTTTTTAATTTTATGCTTAAAAATGTGTTGACTTTCCTTTGTCCCCACAGCAAACTCTCCTGGGGCTTGCCCATAGACGCTGTTCAGTGGGATATCTGCAATCTGCCACTGAGAACTGGCTCTGTGGATATTATTGTAACGGACATGCCATTTGGGAAAAGGTGGGAGTTGGCCCTTTAAAAATGATTTTACCTTCACCTGTTACACAAGTGCCCACTAGTCTTCTCACCCTGTATTTTGAGTTCATTCCCTCAGAAACCTTCCTTTCAGCAGAGCAGTATTTCAGGGAAGAATTGTAACAAGAAATGGATTCACCCATTTTGTTTCTACTTAGAACTCAGTAATGTATTAATTACATTTTGATCCTGACCCACGATTCATTTTGCACATTATGTATCCCTCACTGCCTAACCCACTGTTGTTGCAGATGAGACTTCACAAAATAAGGTTGGGCAAAACTTGGTTCTTTTTCTCAGGGCGAATGATTTCTAATCACTGGTTTGGTTTCTGTAACTACTCTTATTCTCATTAAGAGGACACATTATGTAACTTAGAATTATCAAATGAAATTTTTCTGTAACTGATTTAAAAAAAAATCTAAGCAGTTCATAAACTTGGATCACTCATTTCATTGACATATAATGGCAATGGCAGATTATCTTTAATAATTTCTCATTTCATATAGTGCCAGACATTTATCTCTGGCAATAATTGTTTGACTCATTGGACTCTCTTTTATAGGATGGGCTCCAAGAAGAGAAACTGGAACCTCTATCCAGCTTGCCTGCGGGAGATGGGCCGTGTCTGTAGACCTGGGACAGGCCGCGCTGTCCTACTGACTCAGGACAAGAAATGCTTCACCAAGGTGCTGTATGTTAGCTCCAAAATTCAGCCTGTGGCAGCTTTAAGATCTTTGTAAGCAGACTTGGGGGTATTAAATTTGAGTAGGATGTTTTCTCTTCCCACAGTGTTCTTACTGGCAACTAAGACTCCTTGTTCTAGAAACAGATGGTCAGCTAATTACTTGTATGCTTTTTGTGTGTACACAGGCATTATCTGGAATGGGACATGTGTGGCGGAAGGTGCATACTGTCTGGGTAAACATAGGGGGTCTGCATGCTGCAGTTTATCTTCTGAAACGTACACCTCAAGCTTTTGTTCATCCTTCAGAACAAGATGGAGAAAGAATTCCTTGGTAATGCAGAGAATGAAGATGATTAATATATTTGTGCTTCCAGACACTGGAAATGTCGGCATGAAGAACTTGCTTTTGAGAGAAAAGTAGTAACCCAAGTGCAGTTTGCACGGTTTAATCTGATCGAAAGCTCTTCAGCTTCCTGGTTATCAAAAGATGTGAATGTAATGTGATGCAGCTGAAAAAGTCTTAAGAGGAAGCAGAGCTGTTCTTCAGAGCGGTTTTGAAGTAGCTGGGCTATTAGTACTTTCCTTAAAATGCTTTAAAGATGCCTAGTGAAAAGCCTATTAAAATGCTCTGGTTTAAAACACTATTTTCAGGCTTTATTGAAGCTCCTGTTTTCCATTGTAGCAGGTGAAACGATGGCCTGACCTGATGGAAAAGCAGAGAACAGAATCAGAGCATCTGGGGTCACATCTCATTGCCTATGCAGCCTTGCTAGTTAATAGTTCTTGTTTCCTCAAACTTAAAAAGTGAAGCATCATTCCATTTTGTGAAGTGTTTGCCCCAGTGACAAGACCAAACCTCACAAGACCTATAGGAAAGTTACCATCTGCCTTAAATATGCATGTTACTCAAGTCAATATAAAACTAAAAAAGCAAAGGAATTGCAGATAATGAGCTGTTAAAATAGGGTATTTCTGTAAGTAGCAGCACACACAGGAATAGATGGACTATGGGACCAAATTTAAGATGACCTTATTCTTTTCAGTATAAAGAATGGTGTTGCCTTTCAAAGTCAAATTTAAACCTGTCTCAGTATTGGTTTCGTGAAAGAACTAGAGAACTTATGTATGTTTGAATTAAAAACTTTGTGTCAATTCTTTTATGTTTTTCTTGGGTCACAATTTGTACTTAGTTGCTTTACCAGTTGCATAAAATTCTTCCTGCAACAGTGGAAAATGAAATGACCTCAGCATCAAGTCCCCATAAAGAGTGCTTCCCTGGGGCAGTACTTGGGGTTTTATGTGGATTTCTTTGTAGTATTTCAGTTTATTTGGGGAGTACTGGCTGCATTCACCTTAGATTTTTAGTACTGGGCCAGCAGCATAATAGTGCTACTCTTATTACCTTATGTCTTACATTTAAAGATGGTACTTAGGGTAGGAGCATTAAGTACAGCCAACAGCCTTCATCTGTGGATTAAAGATATTTATAAGGGTTTTATATCCAAGTTTTTTTTACCATCATAATGCACAGCTGCATGATTTGACAATAAAACCACCTTTCACCTGAAGGAACCATTGAAACCTCTAAATGAGGGCTGGTCAAGTCCACAGGATCAAACAAGGACCACACCACTGTTTGCCAAGTGCCTGGCACAACACCTACTTAACTGAACATTTAATATTTGTTGAACAAAGGAATCAGTATCTTTGCACACTGGCTTGGTTTCTAAGTATATAGAACACCCATACCTCATCCATCATAGCCTTAATCTTTTTTTTAAAAGATTTATTTATGCATACAAGAACTGGGGTACAGGCCAGAGGGGTGAGGGGTGAGAGGATTCACCAGAGACAGCGGGGAGAACAGGCAGATCGACTGAAATACACTGCTGAGGGGAGCAGCACGGCGAGTCAGGAGAGGTCTGCTGCACCATGTGGGTTGCTCCCTGGCCGACCGGGGATCAAACTGGTGCTGCAGATTGCTTCATAGTGCAGTGCTTAACCCCTTGTGCCACCAGGGAGGCCCAGCCTTAATCTTACTAAATCTCAGTAAAAACATGACCAGATACTGCAGATTTGTAGTGAGCACCCTCTGCAAGTTCACTTTGTAACCTGTGTCCGGGATAGGAAGGGAGCAGGAGTCATGTGACCCTACCACTACCTCCTTGGTGTCAACCCAGTACTAACCTTTCAAGCGGGCTCCAGCACCCTGGGAACGTGTAGACACAGAAAAGGCAACCTGTAGCAACCTGCAGACAAAATGACTCATGAACCAGTCACTGTACTTTGGATGTAAACACAGGGATTTTATAAGTATAGCAAGTAAAAAAGGTACCTCCCAGAGACTAGCAGTGTGTTATGGATAGAAGGGAAACTTATTTAAGCATTCTTTCAGTGTGGTAATGAATCTTCCAGGAAAGAACCAGCTCTGTAGACTCTGGCCCCTCATGAAAGCTATGGCTCAGATCGCAACTGCAAGGACCGAAAGTTGAAGATTAGGGGGTAGGGAGGGGTTAAGTATGCTGAAAGGTTTACAAAGTACCTAAAGTGTCCAAGTATTGTGAGAGCTAGGAGGAAAAAAGTATACCACCACTCTTTTTTTAAAAAGTAACATTTTATTGATTTTCCACTGGTTTATAATACTGTATTTTGGGAGTAGGGCTTCACACCTTGATACTACAGTACTTTGTCCGCAGCCTCTTCCAGGTTCAGGTGAGGGTTAGGTGGGAATTTCAGAGAGAACAGGGTCAAAGTTTAAAAATTCTAAATGGTCCTGCCTGCTAATTTTTTAACAGTTCAAGAAAAACACCACAAAGATCTCTGCTGGACCAAAACTTTTAAATGTGTACAATGTTAAAGGCTCTGTCACACCCTTTTGCCTCAAGGTTGCTTGCTGAGCAGTCCTGAATTTGTAGCTATAATATGATCTATTTTATGACAGAAGCAATTTTCACTAGAATGATATTTCCATTTTCTACAACCCCAAATTAGAAATTTCCAACTACAGTCACCCCTGTATGTCCCACCTCAGACTCAACAGGCACCCACTTTATTCACCACAACCTATCTATGGCCCAACCTATGGCCTAACCTATGGCCCAGCTCGCCCATCCCCGTGACCCAGGCTGACTACTGGGGGCGACTTCAAACCCCCCAGCTATTCAACAGGCAGTGGAGACTTTAGTGTGTTCAATGTGAGCAACAGCTGTTCTCTCAAACTTCCTGGTCTCGAGTCCTCTTCATACTCTTTAAAACTGAGGGCCCAGGCAACTATTTACCAGTATTTTCCCACCTAAGAACTCAAAATAGGAAAAGCAAAAATGCACTGCCTTATTATTTCCAACAATGGCATTATTTCACATTTTTTAAAATGTCTGCCTTAACGGACGGCAGGTGTATTTTTATTTTTTACATTCAATTGGCTTAGATTATGTGTAGTTGCACTGGTCACTTGGAAGTGTTGGTTCACTTAGTTTCATAAACCTTTTAAGTTTTGTCTAGCTCCTGATATATTTTAGAGTCATACTGCTCACACTACCGGCTCATAAAAACAAGCAGCGCTGGAAAACCTAAAGCTCCGGAAGTGTTCCCAAAATTCTAATTTTCACTTCAAAGTTTGAGTTTTAGCTTAATTGCTGTCAGTTTCCTTCCTTGAAATGTTCATTGCCTTCATAGTAAAAAAAATGTCTGCCAAATAGCCAAATCTAAGAACCTAAATTTAACATTTTTTCAAGTAAAAATGGTGGTCTAAGAAAACAGCAGATTCAGCTTGGAACACAAGTGCAGCAAGGCATTTTCTTGAAAAAGCTACCAAGGCAACTAGCCTAAGGACCGCCTGCAGCTCCCCATTTCACCCTCACGTTAGCGTGCTCAGGGTCCAGATCTGATTTTCACTGTCTTCACAGGGGTGTTCTCCGGTATGACTGGTCTGTACTGCAAGGCACTGCAGTGGACAGTGACTAGCAGGTGGGCGCCGCTTGCCACGATGCCAGTAGCTTTAGCGGGAGGTTCTACAGAGCTTTTCAACACTATTTCAGGACATGTCTGGGGCCAACTTGTACATCAGTCTTTCTTTGGCCAGTGGATACTAAACAAACGCAAGTAACAAGCCCAGCCATGTTTGCAGACTCATCCAGTTGCAAGGCAGAAGCACACATGTGCACGAGCCACGATGGCAGACTGCGTGTCTCCATAAATTATCTTTAATGACAAAAATCACGCCTGTGATTTACTTCTTAGCCAGCATTGGCTGTATCAGCAACACAGCTTTTTGTCGTTCCTCAGCCACTGAGCGTGCTCTCCAGCCAATATCAGGTACTGACTTACCTGTAAGACACTTCAGCAAGCTTTTCTTCTAGTTTCTTTGCAGCTAATTTTCCCTGTGAGACAAGTGAACTGTGAGAGAATTAACTCCGTACCCCTTTTAAATATAGATGGTGTAGCTATGGGTTGAACAAGTGGACTCAGAATCCTTAAGCCAAAGATCTATGCTTAAGAAAAATGTTTAGTTTAGAAAATGGTTATTCTAGCAAGTTTTGACTAAATAACTTAAGGAAATATTTGAAACAGTGCCTAAGAATAACAGCAGAGCATTCATGTTTATGCTCAGGCACACAAAAATCTATAGAATTCTATAATAATTGCACTACATTGAAAGTTGCCGGGATTATAGAAGGTACAAACTAAGAGTTAACGACCTCAACCTCACCACCTCAGGAAACGCTGGACACCTGAAGAATACACAGGACCGTTCCGTCACATCCTTGCTGTCACTGCGCAGTACGCACGCTCTGCAGCTGTGAGGACGAGCTGCACAGGAGTTTTATGAGAAGTTTTGACCTCGAAGACCTCCCTATGCTCAGGCAACATGGACACAGCCACAAACAAGCATGCCCGCCCCTCAGTGGACAATGTAAAAGAGAAAATAGCCCAATTAGGCAATTACTACTTTTATTTACCATTGCAGTAGGAGTACGATAAACGAGGGGGTTCTGAAAAGCCTTTCAACACAACTTTAGGACTTGTGTTTATGGCCAAACTTCCACGAGTCTTTGAAGGCGCGAGGAGGGTCCCGGGGTGCTGTTAGGGACGCCCATCAGCGACTATTGATCCCTTTAACTTCCACTTCACTGCCCTAGCTGTCCACCAGACCTCGCCATTTCATGTCTGGATTGCTGTTAACAAGACTCCAGAGTGTTTGCTCTGCCTTAAAATGCTCTATCCCAACAACACATCCTCTTTCTGGCAGCCATTTCAAACTCCCTAAGACCCTTTCCACCGGAGAATGGAAGAACCATAAACTGGAAAGGCACACTGAGCAAGTCAGACCAGTCTGAGTCCTTAGCCCTTAATTTGTTGATGTGTCTACAGGCAAGTTGTTCAACTTCACCGAGCTTTAGTTTCCTCTCTTTGAGGTGGGGCTTTATCGATGAAGATCACACTATCTTGGGAAGAGTTTGGTATGTTATCTGGGACAGAGCTGGCACTCAATGACTATTAATGTTAGTTTATTTCTTCTAATGTACCTATGTTTTCCACTAGTCTTTGCCTAAAACATGCACTAATAGAATGTCGCCACTATTTACTATAGTAAAATGTTTGGGATGAGATTTTAACCAAGTTAGTAAAAAGAGCAAAGGCTGGGAAGTGTTGACTTAAATAGAATCCATACACTAGAAGTAGGGTTCATGGATAAAATAACCAATTATAACATGATGTGAAAATAGGTTACTGTTGTCAGCAGAAAAAATCTTAATCTCACACACACACACACACACACACACGCACACTCACAAAACAAAGGGTGACTAAGGGCCCCAAGACAAATTAAAGGTCAAAGATGTCTAAACCCTAGGGAAAAGCTGGAAAGTAGAACTATTTTTTTTTTAAAGGAGAACTCTCTTGTTTTTTTGTTTGTTTATTTATTTACTTATTTATTTGTACAAGCACTGGGTACAGTCAGAAGCGCGGGAGGGTGAGAGAATTCACCAGAGCCAGAGTGGGGAGCAGAACAGGCAGAAGGACCGAAGTACACTGCTGAGGGGAGCAGCGGGCGGCAGGAGAGGTCTGCGCTCCATGTGGGACCCTCCTTCGGTGGCCGGGGAGCAGCCGGGGATCGAACCAGTGCTGCAGAGGCCGCGGGCAGCTTCGCAACCCAGCGCTCAACCGCTGCGCCACCGGGGAGGCCCAGAAAGTAGAACTATTAAATGTAACCATGACTTTGAAATATGAGAGGCAGAAAGTCTCTCTAATCGCCAAGAAGGTATACAGATTAATACCAGGAAAAACTCATCAGGTTCAACCCTGGCCTAGATAAAACAGACTTAAATAATTGATTCCATGCCACCAACAGTTCTCTGCTAAATCGGCTTTTCACTCACTCCCATCAAGAATTGGGAATGCTGGATAAGAAAGAAGACAGTCCTTGGGGGAAAGACGGCCTCCAACACAGGAGCTCGCTCCAGGAGGAGACTAACAAACTCTGGAATTCTCAGCCTGCAAAAAGGTAAAGCGCCAGACCTAACAGGTCCACGGCGCTACAATTAAGGCTGGTATGAAACAAGTCGTCCCCCTGTGATGCTGATCCCTATCATGTTCTGGATTAACAGCTGCAAACCGTAATTAAACCAAACCTCCATGCATAACAAACCATGTGGAAGACACATTATCTAGTTCAAATTTTGCAAATGTAAAGTGGAAGCCCTTATAAAACCTACTTTTCCATGCAAATACAAGTGTTTGATATGCTTGATTTTGCCCCAGAAGTATGAGAAATAATATAGCTCAACCTCAAAAGGAGACAGAGCTGGTTCTTTAAACAAGAAAACAAGAGCCCAAGGAAGTGCAGCACAGGAAGAGGCGAAGCGCCGCGGACTGTACAGGAAACCCAAGGAAGAGCTCAGGGGCGGACAGATGTACCAGCCCACGAGGCCCATCCATCTCCTTGCGGAACAGAACATCAGGAGGCTGAGGGGACACGATTCTACAGCTTCTCCCCAAGAGCCTTGTTTCTGTGTTTTACAGGTTAAACTATTATTTGGGGGACTTTCTTGTTCAGAGAAACAATTAATTGGGATATCTTAACATTCCTTTTAAAAAGAAAAACAGTCTGGCCTGCCAAGTTTTCACAACTATTAATGACAACTACTCTTCTTTCAAAATGAATTTCCATTCACTTTTTGGAAGCATGGCGAAAAAACTACCAGTTCAGCTGATGGAAACATTAGGGACAAAAAGTTATGGAGGGGGCCTCCCCGGTGGCGCAGCAGTTGAGCGCTGGGTTGCGAACCTGCCCGCGGCCTCTACGGCGCTGGTTCGATCCCCGGCTGCTCCCCGGCCACAGGAGGAGGGTCCCACATGGCGCGCAGACCTCTCCTGCCGCCCGCTGCTCCCCTCAGCAGTGTACTCCGGTCCTCCTGCCTGCTCTGCTCCCCGCTCTGGCTCTGGTGAATTCTCTCACCCTCCCGTGCTTCTGGCTGTACCTAGTGCATGTGTAAACAAAACAAACTAAATAAATAAATAAATAAATAAACATGCCTCTATTAAAAAAAAAAAAAAAGTTATGGAGGGCCTCCCCAGTGGCACAGTGGTTGAGCTCTGGGCTGCAAAGCTGCCCGCAGCCTCTGCAGCACTGGTTCGATCCCCGGCCGCTGGTGAGGGTCCCACATGGCACGCAGACCCCTCCTGCCTCCAGCTGTTCCCTCAGCAGTGTACTTCCGTTGTCTGCCTGTTCTGCTCTCCCCTCTGGCTCTGGTGGATTCTCTCACTCTCCTGCACTTCTGACTGTACCCAGTATTTATATAAATAAATAAATCTTTAATTAAAAAAAAAGTTACGGAGCATCATGCAGAGCGGTTTCTGGGCCGCCTTAGAAGCAGATAAGCAAAGGGACCGAATTTTAGTGCTCCTAAGCCCTGTCTTAACTGAAGGCAACATCTCTGGTGTGGGGCTGGAATCTGCACTCAACAGCAAGCCTGTCTCTGTCCACCAACAGTCTGAAGACCCTACCTAAGGGTTCCACATTCTAAAGAAGAAATTTTAAGTAAAAAAATTCTTTTAGAAATGAAACAAATCTTCAAGATGCTCTATTAGCACATAGATCACAAAGCACTTTGCTGTTAAAACATTCATTTATACATCACCAGGATGAAACTTACTTTGTGATCCGTTCACTGTAAGTTAAGAGACACTTAAGAGCCACCACTGATTTTGTCCAAAAATGTTAACTTCTGGAACTGAAATTTAGGGCTGGTTTCATTAACATCAAGTATAATCCTACTCTCACGAAACTTCTGTCACACCACATGGTTTAATGAAATTCTAGGCGCCTCATTCATTATGCATTCTATTTTGCAATCCAAACCAGTCCACCCTCTTTGTCAACACTGTTGTCCAAGGCTGGTTTATTGCTAGTAATGGTTTTTGCTAGGGAGCTCTCAACTATGAAGAGCTGAGGTACAGAAACAGGTAAAATAAAACAACCAGGGAAGGGGAAAACGCCTAAACGGACCAACAAGACTCAACTTTTATTTCGTTACTGCTCAGTATGAATCAGAGAAAAATGATCAATGTCCACATTAAGTATTCCACAATCCACAATACAAATTTGTGGTTACAGTTACACTATCCACAGTGGAATTTAAGTGACACTTAAGATTAAAATTCAGTTCTTTGGTCATACCAGCCACGTTTCCAGTGCTCATTAGTGATATAACCACATATGGGTAGCGACTACCCTACTGGACACACAGATGAAGAATAATCCCCATCACTGCAGAAGGTTCTGTGGTACAGAACCTTGATGCCAGGGTAGCAACAAGCAGGCAGAGAACTGCTTGAAAGACCAATAATCTTAACAAATCTTACAAGGACATGTGCAAGTCCCTCGCTCCATTTTATTCAGGGTTAGTTAGATCAAGGAATGTGTCAGGAGCTTAGTGGTACAAGACTGAACAAGAGTCTGCACCCTCAAGGAGCTCAGAATAGTCAGAGAATTCAAACAAGCAATGACAACGACCTGAAGCACTGTGATTCAACCAGCTATGGGAACAGGAGAAAGCACTAGTTTTTTAATAGGGGAGTCTGGCTATTTATAGGACAATAACTCATGGAAGGCAAGATCATAGGGGAGATATTTGAGCTTTCCTCTGCAGGCAAAAGAGCACCAAGGGCAGCATTTCAGGAGGAACCACCTTGCCATGAGGTGTGCAGATAAGGACGTGGGTAAACACCAACCAATTCACGACCTGAGTAGGGTGTTTGTGGAACTTCATGGCAAGTGGGAAAAAAAACTGCCAGCAGTTTAGCTCACGAAGAGCCCTTCCCTATCACATCCCTGATGGAATTCACCTTGTAAGTAATGAGGAGTGGGCAGCCGCAGCAGTCACTTCCATGCTGTTTGCTAGGACAACTGTCCCGACAACATCAAGGTGGACCAGAAGACAGAGGTGTGAAGGTCATCCGCATTAGGGCAACTGAGCCCGGGTACTAACCGAACAGAAAGGAAACAGAGAGATGGATAGAGAGGTGTTCAGAGGCGGTGATAAGATGCCACAGCTAAAACTCATTCAGTTCCCGGAAAAGCACTGGTCAAGGTCATCTGGGCTGTGACGAAGCGCAGCGGCAGAATCCCTGCTGGGGATACAGGATAAAGGGAAAATCAAGGCACAGAGTGAAGAAAAGTGCTAGGGAAGGAAGAACTGCACGGCGGGCTGAGAGCGAGGCCCCTGCCCGAGCCGGGCCGGCTCAGTGAGTTGGGGAACCCATCTGTCTGGTTTCGTGACTCACCGCGCGACCCACAACAGGGAGAAAGCCCAGCGGAGTCTGAGGACCGGCTGAGCAAGAACAACAACAAAAGGGCTCGAAGTAGGCGGTTGCTAAGCAGCCTGGCCCCGAGGGCGCGAGGGCCGGGGAGCCTGAGATTCAGATGTGCCTCGAGTCGTTAGGCGGGGACGGTGCCGCCGGGGTCTCCAAAGCGGGGGAGCAGAAAGCCGGCGCGGTCGTTCCTTGCCCCGCCGCCCCGCAGCCCCTCGGGCAGACGGCTCCCCGGGCCCGAGGCGGCGGGAACGCGCGGCCCCGCCGCAGCCCCGCGGCCCTCGCCCTCCCCAGCCCGCGCCGGCCGCGGGGGCCCCCGCCCCCACCTGCTCGCGCCGGGACAACGCCCAGGCCCGGGTGGAGGCGGCCGAGCGCCGCCCACGGGGAGAGGCGGCGGGCGCGCGGGGCGGGGGAGCCTTCCGGGCCCAGGGCGGTCCTCGGGGCGGGCGGCTGCCCACAGCGCCCGGAAAGGTGCTGCGGCGCCCCACCCGCCTCTGCAGCAGCGCCCCGCGCCGCGAGTTCGGGGGCGCACGCCCCTCCCGCCGCGCCCCGCCCCGCCCCGGAGCAGGTCGGGCCGGTCGCGTCCTTCAGCCGGGGCGCCCGGGGCGGCCCCGCGCCCGCCCCCCCCAGAAGCCCCGGCCGGGCCGCCCGCGCCCGCCCCCGCCCCCCGGCGCGCTTCCTGCCACGTCGCGCAGGGGCGCGGGGCCAGACACTGCGGCGCGGGCCGCACCAACCGGCGCCTCCGCGCGCCGCGGTCCGCGGTCCCCACTCGGGCCCCAGCCAATCGCCGGGGCGCCCCCCGGCTCGCGGCCAATCAGCTGCTGCCGCCGCGCGGGCGGCGGGTAAACCGACTCCCCCGGAGGAAGGGGAGGCGGCGGGACGCCCGCGCGGGAGCCACTTTCACTGACCTCCCCTCCCCCCGAGGCCGGCCGGCCGCGCCCGCCCGGCCCGCTCCGCGCCCCCCGCCTCCCGCCCCGCCCGCCCCGCCCCGCCAGGGGGCCGCGCGAGGCCCGCGGCGGCTGCGCACTCCCGCGGCTCTGACTGACAGGCGCGCGGCTCCAACCGAAAGCCGCCATTTGTGTTTTCACACACGGCGGGAGGAGCCGCGGCCAATCAGGGGCGAGAGCCCGGCCGGAAGCGCGTCTCCGCGGCGGGGGCAAGGGCCGCGCCGGCCACCGCGGTTCCGCTCCCTCCGCCCTCCCCCTCCGGGGGCCGCAGGGCGGACCGCGCTCCCGGCCGCCCCCGGCCCCGTCTTCCCCTTCCAGCAACAGGCGCCGGGCGCCGACTTCCCGCGGGGGAGGGCGCCCCCGCCGGCCGGGCCCCTCCCCGCGCCCCGCGGCCGCCGGCCCGCCCTCCCGCCGGAGTCCCGCTCCCCTACCTAGCCGCGGCTCTCTGAGGAGCCGGAGCCCCCGAGCACAGCCTCTTCTCCGGGCGGCCCGGGCGGCGCCCGCTGATTGGCGGCGGGCTGGCCAATGGGCGCGGGGCGGCGGGCGGCGAGGCCAATGGCGCGCCGGGAGGGGGCGTGTCCCGGGCGCCCCTGGCGCCGGCGCCGGGAATCCCCGTGCGGTCAGTGGCGTTTCCGCTCGGGCCGCGGGCTGAGGGAGCCGCCGCCGCCGCCGCCGCCGCCGCCGGGGGAGGGGCGGCCGCCGCCCGCCTGCGCCCAGCGCCTCGCGCAGCCCGGCCGCCAGCCCGCCGCCCTGCGCCGGCCCCCTCCCCTGGCCCCGCCCCGCCCGCGCTCGCCCCGCCCTTCTGCCCCCGCCCCCACTCCCGGGCTCGGGCCATTCCCGGCCAGGAAACGCCGTGGCGCCGCGCTGGGCCTAGCTCGCGCCCCGCCGCCGCCCGGAGCGCCGCGCGCCGCCGCCCGGCCCGGCCCGGCCGCCGGGGAGAGGTAAGGGTCCGCCGGAAGCGGCGCGCCGGCCGCGGCCCGGGCAGGCAGGGGCGCCCCCGGCCCGCGCGCCCCGGCCCGGCCCGCCGCCCCCCCGCGCCCCGGGAGCCCCGCGCCCCGGCGGCCCCGCGCCCGGCCTCCCGGGCCGCCCCCCCGCGCCCGCCCGCCCGCCCTCCCGCGGCGCCCCTGCCCGGCGCCCAGGCCGCGCTGCCTCCACGCCGCGCCCCCGCCCCCACCCGGCCGCTGACAGCGCCGGCCGCCCGCCGCCCCCACGGCGCCCCGGCCCGCCGGGCTCCCGACGCGGCCGCCGGGCGTGGGGCCGGGCTGGAGCGCCGCCAGCCCGGGGCGCCCCGCCTGGGCGTGGAGCGCGGGCCGGGCGCGTCTTTAAAGGCAGAAAAATGCGCCGCCGCGCCGGCCCCGCGCAGGCCGGGGATGCGCCCGAGCGAGCCCGGCCCCGGGAGGGGAAAGTGGGGCGCGGAGGCCCCTCGGGCCCGCCCCGCTGCGCGGGAGCCCGTCGCCCCGAGCCCGCCGCTGCGGCCCCGGCCGGGCGTGCGCGCCCCGCGCCTCCCGCCTCCCCACGGCCCCGCGCGGGGCGCCCGGCTCGGCCCCGCCGGGCTTTGTCTGCCCCGCGCCCCGGCCGAGCGCGCCGGGCCCCGCGCCCTCCCGCGGCCCTGCCTGGGCAAGTTGTGGGGCGACGAGCCGCGGGCCAAGGTCACGCGCGCCGCTTTGTTGGGCGGGCGCCCCGCTCTGCGCCCTCCGCGCGGGCGCCCAGCTCGGGGTGCGCAGCTCCCCGGGAGGCCGTGTCCCCCTCCCGGGGGAATTTCGGGTGGTTCGTTTTCATGTCATTAGTGTTTTTAGGTCACAGAGAAAAGTTCAAAGTGGTAATTTTAGATATGTGGAGTCTGAGCTGGAGCCACGCAGAAGAGACATAATCAGAGGTTTCTGGGTCTCTCGAGAGGAGGACTCAGGCGATTTATTTTATTGAATTTTTTCCGGCTTTCTCAAGAGGATCTGTTTTCAAAAATTCTTGCCGGTTGTGGGGTTAATCTAAGATTTACCCAGACCGTCATTTTGTATAGAAAAATGAATTGTGTCCTTTGGTAGAACATGACATAGTCTCTGCCTGTAGCTGCAAATTTAAATGACTAAAGAAGACTGAAAATCTGGCCTTTTAGGCTAAAACGTGATCTCCACTTCATTACGGGCTTAATCAAAACGGTTATTTGGAATTTGGTGGATGTTGATTTTCCTAATAAAAAAAATCTTAGTTTTCAAACTAAAAGGGTGAGTTTAGGACTGTTTCTTTCAAAATGCGTGATTCCAGCCCCTGGCCCTCCCCCCCTTCCTGGCCTGGAGCATTGCTTCCCCCCAAAAAAAAGTGTGTAAGGAGTGGGGGTGGGGTAAGGAGAAGGTTGTTCCTTGGGGTTGGATCACAGGGTTGAGTATACGAGGCAGCAGCAGCTGCTGGCTCTGGAGCTCTGGTTGCTACGTGAGAAGCTTGAGTAGTGCTGGCTGCTGTCTCCAGGGAAGGACAGCAGTGCAGCGTCCATTAATGCTGTTGGCTGCAGGGAGCTGCACTTAGGCGATGGCTGCTTCAGGGCTAAAGAAACCTTGCTTTCCTGGGAATAGTCGCTGCCGAGCTGGTTTACGTGTTGTTGGTAGGGGAATGGGAAGTAGCAATTCACAGTGTTCTACCCATTTATGGATATTAGCATCTGGAAAACTGGATCATAAACACTTCTTTTTTGTTTAGTTTTGGTTTGAGGCAGATTTTTTGTTTTTTATCTGGGAATTTATGCTTAGGTGGCATTGAAAGTTGCATAAGAGTTTTAATTTTTCAATCTGTTTAAGACCAACGTAATAAAATTTTAAGGATCTTCCTGAGAACCACAATGTTGGGGAAAGTAGCAGTTCTTTCTTCTGCAGCTGACATATTTTCCTCCATCTCTTTGATCACTGAATCAGTTTTTTGTTAGTGGTGTCTTTTTCCTTTCTTACCGTAGTGAATAGAAATTTTCCAGTTTACTAAATTTGGAGTCTTAAATTCTGAAAAAAGAACTGCCATTTCAGAATGATTTCTAAATATAAGCCTCAGAAGTGTTTTGTTAGTTTCTGTATTAGTAATAGATTTCTCCAGAGCATTTCTCTGGCTTTTGACCTATAAAATTGATTCATTATATGTTTGGGATATAGTCTTCTGAGGTCATAGGGATGGATGTATATTTGGCTGGCATCCACTGGAAATATAGGACAGACCGGGAGAAATATTCAGAAATCAAGTAAGTCCTGGTGTGGAGGATACTCGAGCAGGCCGCCTCTGAGCCCCTTCTGTGGTCTCCCCTCCCCCATGGCTCCTGCATATTTGGAAGATCTCTGATTAAGCAGAACAGTCTGTTGAGTGTGGAAGTACTTGCAGGAGAACCACCACCCAAATATACCACCAGTTACGTACAACACGTAGCAGATGCCCATGTGTTGTTTTCTTCCCCCCCCCCCCAGACTCTTGCATCTTACATAATTTTTTCTTCAGAATTTTGATATGTTCAGTTTTGTAAGTGTACATAAATCCCTCAATCATCTATATGTGTAGTGTGACTCTGGCGTTTGTGGCAGGGAACCAAAAAGGAATGGAAATGAGTTTTGTCATTCATAAGTGTGGCTTGCATTGTCTCGGTGGCACGAGCAGACTAACGAAACAGCCATTACTTTGTAATATTTTAGGTGGTTCTCATTCTTAACTGGTTTCACACATACAAGAGGCCATGCCAGATAAAAATGTTTTTGCTCATTCTGATGGAGTTTAGATATAATTATCTTTTAGTGTATTATATAACATGAAAGTTACCTTATAAGATAATTGCTTTTTCACTTGTGTTTCCTGTTTGGAACCCCTGAGTCTGATGTAATCATTTGTTGAACGATCATAGAGGTCCTTTTTCTAGGATTTATTTCACCAGTATGCTTGAAAAACGTATCCTCTTAGGTTGTTTTGTGTCCAAGAACTTACCTGTCTATTTCTGAACTAATTCTGGCCTTTCTGGGGGAGAGTGACTATGTCATTTTTTGGTTTTGGATGGAAAAATCATAATTTAAAAATGTACATGTACAGGTAACTACTTTTACATTATCCTCTTCATGTTGAAATACTTTTGAAACTTTAGGCCATAATTAACAAGAGTGAATGATTACAGCATATACCTTCTCGGGAAAAAATTAGATAATGAATAGAATAAAATTTTCCTGTAATTCCCAAGTCAATTCTGGTGATTTGGTGGTTTAATTTGAAACTAAAAGGCCTAGCAATAAATTTCTTTCATAAGTTGTTTCAGGTATTGAAAGCTAAAAACTTATACATGGGGTATTTTGTATAAGACAAAACTCTGACTGCAAAATATGTGAGGTAATGTATATTTAGTAATATAACTTGTGCTCCTCTGTGATTTGATTAAAAGCATCCTTTCAGAGGCACTTGGGAAATTTTCAAAATATGTGGTGAAATGGCATTTTTAACCTCACTTGATGCAGTGGTGGATTTCTCTTATGATAAAGACTTTGGGGAAGTTCATGAAAGCAGAGAGAATACTGTTGTTTTCTTCACTGACCAATACCTATTTTGTTAAATGGTCATCTTAGGAAAATTGTCCTGCTGTATATCTTTAACTCTAAATTGAGTTAAAGGTACCCAGTAAGTTTTGGGGCATGAGGAGGGACTATTAGGAAGCATCGCTTCAGACAATTCTCTTATTCTGACAAAATATACTCACACTCTTTATTCTTCATGAAGGGAACGATGAGAGATAATAAAGGAACAAAAAAGCTGAATCTCAGCTTACTTTGGAAGCGCCCTCACTGAGCAAGGAATTTGTAATCCCATCCTGCCTCAGTTTTTCCAACATGCTGATTTTGTTTCCCGAATAACTGAGTAAGGTATGGTTCACTTTAAGCACTTCTGATATAAAGGGAAAAGGAATTTTCTGCATATTGGAATGTCTTAGTATGCTTGAAACATGGATATTATTAGCCACTTTTGCCTGATTTGTATGACTGTTGGCTTGGCCTGACTGCTTTCTCGTCTGTGCCCTTCTCTCTTCCTTGTAATATGAAAACTCTGAGTTTTGATGGCAAATTGAAGTAATAAGAATTTCTTTAGCAATATTAGCCATGTATATATACCCAGAGCTGGGGCTGCTCCTTGGCTTGTGTTGTGAATCACCCAAAAAAGCCATGGATGTAGGCATTTTGTTTCTATCAAGGGAACCAAGTTTTTGATTTGTGCTACCTAATTAAGAGAAAATGCCAAATTCCTTGCTGCTGTGTTTGAAAAATAGATGGAAACATGGGAGGAGCCAGAGACCTCTGCAGCAGGGTTTGGTCTGAGCAGAAAAGGAAGATTTTTGTTTCAAATTGCCAGCTGCTTATGTCAGACTGACTCCCTTATTATGCCTCTAGTTGGCCTGTCAATATGGCCAAACAGCAAGATAAGTGCGGGGCAGGACAAAGGGCTCTTTGCACAGCGGGGCGGCTCTGTTGGTGGGGGAGGGGCAGGAGGTAGGAAAGGCAGGAGGAGGAGGTTCCTTTCCCTGAGAGATTATTCACTTTGGCATACAATTAAAGAAATCATTTGTAGCTCCTACTCAAACTCAGGCATTGAATTTGTGCCAACCATATCTCTTAACCCCAAATTTCACATGTTCCTTAATACATGGTTGGGAACCGTCCCCTCCTCCAGGAGTAAAAAAAGTCAAAGCTTTCTGTACATTAAAAGAAAATACAGGGGCCTCCTCCTCCCCGGGTGGCGCAGCGCGTTGAATCTGTCCGCAGCCTCTGCAGTGCGTGTTCGATTCCCAGCCGGCTAGGGAGATTCCCACATGGCGCGGCAGACCTCCTGCCTCACCCTCTGCTCCCCTCAGCAGTATCCTTCTGTCTGTTCTGCTCCGGGCTCTGTCTCTGGTGAATTCTCTCACCCTCCCACACTGCTGGCCTGTACCCCCTGCTTGTATAAATAAATAAATCTTTTTTAAAAAAAAGAAAGAAAGAAAATCTCATCCCCCTTTGCCTCCTAAATACAAGTCACCTCCAGAGGAGACCAGTTCTATGGCCTCTGATTCTTAGAAATGAAAAAGAATATTCTAGCTGAATAAAACTTTTATATTTGAGTACATACATTACTCACATTTGGATTGGGGTTTGACCAGAATATGTAGGCTAATTTGTTTCCTTTTGAGAAATAGTTGGATATTGTTAGCTCCACTTTTACATCAGCAATAGCAGCGCATCCTCCAGCTCTCAGGGTTGGGTCGCCATCATGTAAAATGCTAACTGAAGAAAGACCACTACTACTGTTTGAATCTCATCTGGACTTCCCTGAGAACCTGATATTCCCTGGAGAGTACTCCCTCCCCCCCCCCCCCCACCTTTTAGGGTGGACCCTACCTTGTTTGAAACATTTGTGCTCAGCTTAAAAGTGGGGTAGTTGCATCCAGTTTATGAATCTTAGAGTTGGGAGAGATCTGTCAGTTATTTGGCCCTTTAAGCAAATCATAATAAAATATTCCAAAGTTTGGGGCCCTGTGGCAGATTTCATTCAAGTACTAAAAAGGACCAGTGTCCTGAACATTATTTTTGGTTACTTTTAGAATGTCTGACACCTTATGCGTGTGCTTGTTCTTTTAAACAAACAATATTAAAGAGTTGTGTTCACAGACAGATAGTGATCTGGATTTGCGAGAGGATTCCTCCTTATGAAGGAGTATATGCTGAGATTTTTTTAAATGCTTAATATATTTTAAAGAACTTGATTTTTAGAAATAATTGGCTTGGACTCAGTTTTTCCAAGAGCACATCTGTTGCTTGAATTGAGATGCCACCTGTACCGCAGTGTTATTAAACTAACCTTCAAGCGAAAACTCCCGACTGTAGGAGACCATAAAGGGAGCTGGAATGCTAATTTTGCTTCTGGATTCAGAGCTATTGCTGTTCGCAGAGAAGGAATGTTTTCAGTGAACGGGCTAACAAACTGCTATTAATGCACATTGTATTATTAGGCAGACCTGACAAGTTTTGTGTCATTTCCCTCTGTAAAAAGAAGATAAATATGTTACCCACTTAACATTATATTTTTCTGTGTAATGGTCTTGACAGTAGTGATACAGTATTTTGACCCAAAAAGGGAAATTTGAGTGGCTAATTATTGCATTGAGCTAGAAGGTTCTTATCAGTGAAATAACAACATTAACATGAAATTTAGTGGGCTCTATTTTATACTACAGAAATTTCAGGTAGTCGTTTCTTCAGAACTCATTCACATGGATTTTTTCCGTAGAGTTGTGGGGTTAAAATAGAAGCCATTGAGTTCAACCCCCAACCTCCATTCGAGACCGTTTTCTTTACCTGTGCTAAGGCCTGCGTTGCTAGCACTAGGGTTAACACCACTCACAGTGGAGCATGTGTACACACACACACAGACACACACACACACACATACCAGTTCCCAAATAAATAGAAATCTCTTCAAGTGACCTCTATTGCTCCTATGGCCTGAAGCTTGCCAGAGGCCCTAAAAAGTTCCTGGCAAAAGTGGTTGGAGGGTGGGGGCATATTTTGATCCCAGAGGTTTGGTAGCTGCTTTGGCTCCACAAACAACTAATCTCATTTTCAATAAGACCTCGCCAGCAGTAGGCTAGAGGTGAAGCACTGCACTGTACTTCATCTTGCCTATGCAGCTGCTCCACCTTATTTCCTGCTATTATTATCCACAATGCCTCTCCCCAGCAAAAAAAGAAACTAGGACAAAGGGGGAAAATTGGATGGGCTAATATGATTTTTATTATTGTTAGGTTGTGGGTTTGTTTTTGTGTACATAAACACAGAGCTATTTTTTCTTAAAAGTCAGTAGTGAGAGAGATTTTATAATTTCAGTGTTTGCCTCTTTCTTAACCATTTCATCTTCTTAGCCTTACAGAAAAAAAGGTTAAGCATACTTAATTTTCACTGGCTATTGGCATGATCGTTATTAACACCAGATGCCGCCATATTATTAGCTGAAGAAGGTACTCTCTTCTGTGGGAAATATTTGCTGTTTGTATTGGGAATTGCAGATTTGTGTTACTCAGACTTATGGTTAAAAATTAAACCTTCATATGTTTTTATCCCTTTACCTTAGTGGAGGTGAAATTAATTTTTTAAATATAAATTCCATTCCTTGGAGTTCTCCAGGCTGCATAATTTATGTTCTTTAAACTTCCTTTACCCCCATTGCACCCCTCCAAACCAAAAAATTTGTTTGTTGTCTTGAGAGGGCTGGTCTTTTCTCCTCCCAACTCCTGACATGTGAAGACTCAAATAAAACCTGGTAATCTTATAAGGCATGTTGTGCACTACTGAATATAGTAAGAGTTATTTCGTAATTCTTAGAAATTATGACCTGGTTGGCATGGTCCAGTGTTGTGTTAGCATATTTAATAATGTTGACATTAATTGTAATATATATCCAAATGGACCTCACTGTTTCGTATTTGCACCAGTTGATCAGTTTTCTATGAGGTTGTTTTCTGTCTCCATGGTTTCTTTCTTCCTACCCCGTTAGAGTCTTCGGCCTGTGTTGAGAAACTCTGTTTCCTTCTACCGATCTCTGTGCATGCCACAACACATACAATTTGTTCTCTCACACTTCTGTGAAGGCGAGTGATCAGCAATTAATAATCGATTAGTAATCAACTGTTTTGGTATTCTTGGTATCCAAGGAAGGTTTTGCTTAGGAGGAAGAACCTGGGAGGACCTGTTGGTAATCAGATTGTCTCTGCATTTGTGTTACATTTTCCTTTATTAACATGAGCTGTTAGAGTTAAACTTGTTTTGTAAGAAAAGTCAGACAGAAAAGGAAAGAGACATTGATACGGTTATTTAAAAGATGAATGTGTTTGTTAAAACATTTGGCATAGAATCTAGCGGGCAGTTTTTTAAAACTTTATTTAGTTCTAAAGACAAAAGAGTGTAACCTAAAAGAGAAGGTCTTTTGAAAGTAGTATGATTGATCGTGTGCCGAATGTAGCATTAGATTGCTGGATGAATGTGCAGATTTTTGTTTTCTCAATTTCTATGGTGCAGACTACTCGGGTGATGCAAACCTAATGTGTCTATGCCTGTAGCCTGAAAAATATTCAGTGGAATGCCTTTTTTAAAAAACTGTGAGGAAAATACGGAAGCAAATTCATGAATTTTTTAAGTCTCTTTTTAATTATTTTTATTCTTGCTAAACAAGTTTAGTGTTACTTAAGGCAATTAGAACTTTAATGTCCTATCTAGTAATAGAACAAAATAAAGGTAGCTTGACGCGATAGCTGCACATTTTAGGAAGAGGCTAAAAGTCGTACTAAATTGCTACTTATTTTCATATATGGGCATATTTTATTTTAAAACCTATGAAGGGACATAAATCTATTCAGAGATTAAACAGACTACACCCGTTATTGGTGGCACATTATATAAACAGTACTAAGGCCAGGTTTTACTTTAAAAAAAAAAAATTGTAAATGAAAATCATGGTTACATATATGGAGCTCCGAAATGGCTGTCGCCATACCACTTAGAACAGGTAGGTTTTAATGCCAACTCCCAGGCTCTTATTGTGGAGCCTTGGCTGGTTGACTGAGCCGGATGATTTTGCTGCTTTCCTTCTTAACCATTAAGGTTAGAAGCGCTGCTAGGAATAAGGTGTTCTTTTATAAACTGGGTGGGTATCTGCTAGGCCACGTGTATGGAGGCTCCCATGAAGACCTGTATTTCTAGAGAAGGCTCTGGTTAAATATGGCTTTCATGGTTTATGGTAAAAGAGGCTATGAAAAGAAATGTCTGGAAATTTGCAGAATACCCTCAACAGTGAGAAGGGGCTTCTCTCTCTCTGAAATAAGCACATATCAAGCAGTGGA